TCTGCTGATTTATTAGCTTCTGAGTATGTGTTAAAATCTCCAACTGCAGTTCTTGGTTTATAGATCTCTGAAGGCTGTTACAAGATACTTGATGTGTATCCAGGGTGTAATGTTGGGGCATATGTCTGTGATTACTGTACATTCTTCCTATTGTTCCTTTCATCAGCATGAAACACTTTGCCTTGTCTTTGGTTATATGTTGTTGTTTTGCCATAAATATATTTTGTCTGAAACTAAGCTACTTGGGACTGCTGTCTCATTTGCCTGGCATAGCTCTTTTTTTTTAATTAGTCTATATAGATATAGACATATCCTTTCATTAAAAAATAATTATTTTTAAATTAAAAAAAAATTTTTTTTTTGGCCGGAGCCGCGGCTCACTAGGCTAATCCTCCGCCTAGCGGCGCCGGCACACCAGGTTCTAGTCCCCGTCGGGGCGCCGGATTCTGTCCCAGTTGCCCCTCTTCCAAGCCAGCCCTCTGCTGTGGCCAGGGAGTGCAGTGGAGGATGGCCCAGGTGCTTGGGCCCTGCACCCCATGGGAGACCAGGAAAAGCACCTAGCTCCTGCCATCAGATCAGCGCAGTGCGCCGGCCGCAGTGCACCGGCCGCAGCGGCCATTGGAGGGTGAACCAACGGCAAAGGAAGACCTTTCTCTCTGTCTCTCTCTCTCACTGTCCACTCTGCCTGTCAAAAATAAAATAAAAAATAAATAAATTAAAAAAAATTTTTGAAAGAGATTTTCCATCTGCTGGTTCATTCTCCAAGTGCCCATAACAGCTGGGACTGGGCCAGGCCAAAGCCAGGAGCCAAGAATTCCACCTGAGTCTCCACATGGGTGGCAGGACCCAGCAGAGCTTGATCATGGTCTCTTCTAGGACGCCACAGCACAAGAGACTGCAATTTATACAACCGTCTCCCTTTGATAGACACAGAGATTCTTCTCAATCTTCCGCCAGGATGAGCCAAGCTGCCCTGAATAATGTAGCGAGTTTACGCGATGGGGAGAGATGTGAAAACCAGCCCCGGCATTCCATCACATCAGTGTTTCCCAGCCCATTTCTTTGCCTCTCTCTGCTGCTGTTTCTTCCACTGCGTTTTTTCTTTTCCTGGAAGTCGAATGTTGATGCTTTATTGCAGTGTGCACATTGTTCAGGGTCATTTCAGAGTTTGGAATTACACAATAAAATAGAAAAATGTACATTCGTGCAAGTCCTGCAAGTTAACAATAACAAGAAATCTCCCATTCATCCTATGCCTCCTGCAAGCCCGAGTGCTGAGACAGCAGGCCAAGGGGCTTTGCAGGCCCCTCACACAGCTACACAACCAGACACAGACAGCACCTTTGCGTCCCAGCCACCTAGGGGGCAGGGGTGTGCGGTCAGGCCCTCATCCCAGAGCTGCTGAAAACACAGAGAGGACACAGGGACCTTATTCCTCAGTGCTGTACAGCTTTCCAAACCCCGCTGGCGTATGTACCCAAAGAACTGCAAGCAAGGACTGCCGGCGAGACTGTGCCCCCATATTCGTAAGTGGATGACTCAGGGTAGCCGAGGCGCGGAAGCAACCCCGTGTCCACTGACCAATGAATGCATAAGCAAACTGTGGTGTGCACACACGGTGGAAGGTGATTCAGCCTTAGAGAGGGAACTCTGCACCTGCTGCAGCAGGAATCCACCTTGAAGACATGATGCAGGGGCGGAATGGGGGGGAGGACAAGCCCATCACAGGAGGGCGAATGCTGGGCGACCCCCGCTGCAGGCTGATGATAGCAGGCGGAAAGTAGAATGGTGGCTGCCAGTGGCTGGGACAACGGGGAAGGGGGAGCTACTGCCTAGTGTGTATAGGGTTTCGGTTTTGCACAATGAAATGAGTTCTGGAGACGGATGGTGGTGACAACTGTACAATGATTATCAAGTGGTTAATACCATTAAATTGTATACTTGGGCCAGCGCTGTGCCGCAGGTTAATCCTCTGCCTGTGGTGCCAGCATCCTATGTGGGCGCCGGTTCTAGTCCCAGCTGCTCCTCTTTCAAACCAGCTCTCTGCTATGGCCTGGGAAGGCGTAGAAGATAGCTCAAGTCCTTGGGCCCCTGTACCCACATGGGAGACCCCGAAGAAGCTCCTGGCTCCTGCCTTGGACTGGTGCAGCTCCAGCCGTTGCGGCCATCTGGGGAGTGAACCTGCGGATGGAAGACTCTTTCTCTCTCTCTCTCTCTCTCTCACTCTGTCGAATGAATAAGTAACATCTTTTTTAAAAAATTGTATATTTAGGTTAAGATGGTAATTTGCATAATTATGTGTATTTTTTTTAAGTCTAATGAGCTGAGGGACTGGCATTTGGCCTACTGGTTTAGCCATTGATACACCTGCACCCAGTACCTGGGTCCGAGAGTCCCAGCTCCACTCCCAATTCCAGCCTCCTGCTAATACACACCTGGGAGGCAGCAGGTGATGGCTCAAACGGTTGGGGCCCTGCACCCCCCTAGGAGATCCAGACGGGTTCCTGGCTCCTGACTCCACTGGCAGAGATCTGGGAAGAGAACCGGTAGACGGGAGCCCTGGCTGTCTCTCTGCCTCTCAAAACAAGCATTAGCAGCCCCTTCGCTGTGTCAGTCTTTCTGCACAAGCAGCTGTAAACAAAGCCTTTTCTGATCAAAATCGTTTTTCTCCCTGGGCCATTTTTCAACAGTGAAGACAGCTCTGGGAAAGTCTAGGAAAGATCGTGTCCTGGGGCTGATATTAGAAAGAATGCAAAGCCAGCACCCCCCAGCGCCTGGCTTCTTACCTAAGCCCACTGGATCCTTACAGCTCCGTGCGTCAACAGGATCTACATCTTACACCTGAAAAAACCAGTGTTCAACAAGGCCAAGAAAAACAGCTGAAATCTCAATTAGCACTAACGATGGGGAGCAGTCAGGTGGATGGGCATGAGGCAAGTGGGAAATAATCCACACTTTCCTGGGACCAAAACTGTCCCCTTGCAAACTGTTTGGGGAAGAGCCCCGTTCACGACAATAAGGCCAACCACACTGGCGAATGGGCTGCCAAAGCCTTCAGAGAAAACTATAACTCTGGGAGGGATTCGGACCACAGAGATCAAGACCGAGAGAGAGAGAGAGAGAAAGGGAGAGAGAAAACTCACTTTTTCCCTGGTGCAACAACAAAACTTCATCTAAAAGTGAGGTTAAGAAAACTGTCCAGGGGTTCTCTGGCAAACCTGAACCACAGGAAGCCAAAGTGGCATCCAAGGAAGACAGGAATTGGCAGTGGCCTTGGCAGTACAGGGCTGGGCCTCCCTCACCCGAGTGCTCAAGGCAGAAGGCCAGTAACAATCAGCCAACACTGTGCGTGCCCACTGTGTGCCCACAGACACACTTGGTTCACATTTTTCTTTCACCCTCACAACTCCTCTAGGAAGTTGAAGAATTTCATGATAGAAGAAATTGGCCAGGGGCCAGCACTGTGGTGCAGTGGGTTAATGTCCTGGCCTTAAGTGCCAGCATCCCATATGGGCGCCAGTTCGAGACCCAGCTGCTCCAATTCTGATCCAGCTCTCTGCTATGGCCCAAGTGCTTGGACCCCTGCACCTGCATGGGAGACCCGGAAGAAGCTCCTGGCTCCTGGCTTCAGATCGGCGCAGCTCCACCCGTTGTGGCCAATTGTGGAGTGAACCAGCGGACGGAAGACCTCTCTCTCTCTCTCTGCCTCTCCTTCTCTGTGTAACTCTTTCAAATAAATCTCTTTTTTTATTTATTTATTAAGGCAGAGAGAGAGGGAGAGAGGATGAGAGGGAGAGAGGAAGAAAGGGGTAGAGAGAGGGAGAGATGGGGAGGGGGGAGAGGGAGAAAGGAGAGAGGAGGGGGAGGTGGAGGGAGGAGAAGTGAGGGGGGAGGGGAGAGGAGAGAGGGGGAGAGAGTGAGTGAGGTCTTCCATCTGCTGGTTTATTCCCCAGGTGGCTGGCCCACGGATCCCTATCGTCTGCGTGGCATCCTTCCCCAGGGATCACGTTCTGGTTGTGAGACGGCATCCTACCTGGCTCCATCTCATCCCGACTGGCAGGCAGGGTCCGCTCCTCGCTAACAGACCAGGCCTGACGCCTCGGCTCCTTGCCTTGTCCTTTCTGTCCCACTCCACACGTGCAACACCTGCGGAATGGCTGGAGGCTCGACCTCCCTCACCTGGCGAGACGAGGGCATGAAACCCGATTAGGGGCTGCGGAGGCTTTCCTGGGAGGTGAGGAGCAGGCCTCGGGGAGAGTCAGGAACCAAGCTTCCCTCCATGCGGGACTCATCCCGTTCATGGAGAGGCACAGCGCATGCTCTCATTTGCAAAGGGGTCCAGATGCTTTGTAAAGCTTGCAAACCACTAAACCGGGTGGTCTCCCAGGGTCTCTGCCAACTACAGTTTTGATTTTTAAATTTCACTTATTCAACACGTACTTGGAAAATGCCTTACTGTGTGGTAAGAGCCTGGCCCAGGCACGGGGTGATAACAGTGAACAATACCGTTCATCAGGACCGACTGTCCTCAGGGGACCTGTGCTGACACTGAAGAGAGATGTAGACCTGTGTCTACGCACAGTCACCCGAAGAATCCAGCTCCTGATTCCACAAGTTCTAAACTGAAGCAGCAAGATTCCAGGCCCAGAACAAGGGTCTGGCCTAGTAATGAAGACGCTAAGATGCCTGCATACAACACAGGACTGCCTGAGTTCAAAGCCCGGCTCCAACTCCTGACTCCAGCTTCCTGCTAAAGCAGACCTGGGGAGTGGCAGGGACGGCTCAGGGCCCCTGCCATCTGTGTGTGAGCCCCGGAATGTGCTCCAGCTCACAGCTTCAGCTCCGGGCCCAGGGGCACTGCAGGTACCGGGGAGTGAACCAGCAGGTGGGTGCTCGATCTCTCTCTCAAGAGAAAAATTAGAAAATAAAAAGATTCCAAGTGTCCCTCTCCTTGCCAACTACTCAGATGACAGATGGAATGACACAAACAAAACCAGCTGTAAGATGAAAAAAATCAAATAGGAGTTTATTAAAATATACACAGATAACCCTCATTTTTTTTCTTATTTCACCAGTTTAGGGAAGTTAGGTAAAAATTAAGTGAAAAGCAGTAGTCCTGGGGTAGAGATATGAAGGCTGGAAAGGAGCAGAGGAAACTATTCCTGTCCAGGCTGGCCACCGAGCCGTCTGGAAGCACTGAATGCTGCATCCTGACGGAGACTGAGGCAGCTGAAAGAGATATCTCACACACACACACACACACACACACACACACACACACGTGCTGTCTGGGGTCAACTGCTCCCCTAAAGCTTTCCTGTTCTACTCCTATTACCAGGCACCAATGCTGATGTCACATATTAACTACCTAACTGGTACTCACAACAGAAATGGAATGGACGTTAAAGTCATAGAAATACTTTCAAGGAAGGTAAGAGAAATACAGAAATTTGCTGTTTTAAAAAATGCATTGATGTTACTGCTTTATTCACACTAATTAGAATTTATACACAAAAAATGTGTATTGTGTCACTTTCAAAAAATTCCATGTTCCATGAGAACTATGTAAACAATGTAAAATGTTTCTACTTTATCACAAAAGAAGAAAAATCAGCATTCCCATGTAGTATTAGGAAAACATCTAGATAATCTCAATGTACAGAGAAACAAAAGTGAAACAGTACAGAGCAGTCTTCTCGGGAAGTAGACTTGCAGCCTGGAAGAAATACATTTCATACTTTCCAACACTTTGGTATAACTGGAATCAACACAGAACAAAAAACCCTAAAAGCTCCACTTTGGTTCTCACACCAATTGGAACTTTGGCAACGCAGCGATACCCAGCTGCCTCAGAAGACAACACAGAAAGCTCTCATTTGCTTCCCTCCCTGCTGGAGCAGAGCATGCTGGGAGAGCGAGGCGCACCAGCTCGCTCACAAGGAGGCTCTCAGCAGCGTCCAGCCCACCTGGGCACAAGTGATCTTGGTTACTTCTCTTAACAAGTAAGGCAGCTCAGAGCCACAATTCACACTTCAAGTAGAACATAAATTTCCTAAAAATCATATCACTGTAGTTTCTCAAGAAGTCCATAGTTGAATAAAAAGAAAATACTACATTAATAAAAAGAAAAATGCAAGTTTAATAGCCCACAATGGTTTAAGGGACAGAAGTAACCGTTTGCATGCTACAAGGTTTTCTTCATTGTTATCACACATCTTTCACAACTAAACTGGTCTGAGAAATTCTCACTGAGTCACTGTTATAATTACACTTTCTCATCTACGCTGTCCAAGTGTGGCACTCATTTGCTTCTGTCCGTTGGCTGCATATCTTCTTCCCAATGGATTCTCCCTCTGAGCACTTGTTGAAGTCACTTTTCTGGCACCATCGCAGGAGCAGACCGGGAACATCCTCGCAGGGTCTCCCAGCGATGCACCTCACTCCGGACCTTCTGTGAAGACAGTCTTGGAAAGAAAAACAAGACCCCTCAGTGAGCGCTGCACGTCTGCAGTAGTAATAAACTTGCTGTGTTCCTCCCTCCAGTAAGACAACACACCACCAAGCCCCCAAACTGCCGGTGGAGATGTGGGCAGCGGCACCGGTTCCCAGGCAGGCCTGGCACGCGGCGGAAGGGCCCCGGCGGTGCACAGAAAGGTTCACTAGCATGACTGTCTTCGGAGCAAAGCAAGGACACAAAATGAACAGCAACTGCAGAGTCAACGCTCCGTCAGGTTACTTTGAGGCACTTAAAGAACAATCTGGGGATGGTACTGTGGCACAGCGAGTTAAGCTGCCGCCTGCAAAGCCAGCATCCCACAGGGGCCCTGTCTGGGTCCAGGACACTCCACTTCCAATCTAGCTTCCGCCTAAGCTGGAAAAGCAACAGAAGACAGCCCCAGTACTTAGACTCCTGTCAGTCATGTGGGAGACCCAGAGAGCATTCCTGGCTCCCGGCTTCAATCTGGCCCAGCCCTGGCTCTTGCAGCCATTTGAGGAGTGAACCAGATGGAAGATTCTCTCTCTCTCTCTCTCTCTCTCTCTCTCTCTCAGATCTCTTTCTCTCTGTCACTCTGCCTTTCAAAGAAACAAATAAATCTTTTTTAAAAAATATTTATTTATTTGAGCAGCACAATTGCAGGCACAAAGAGAGAGGTCTTCCATCCTCTGGTTCACTCCCCAAATGGCTGCAATGGCTGCAGCTGAGACAGGAGCCAGGAGTTTCTTCCAGGTCTCCCATGTGGCTGCAGGGGCTCAGGGTCTTGGGCCATCCGCAGGGAGCTAGATAGGAAGTAGAGAAGACAAGACTCAAACTGGCTCCTATATGGTATGCCAGCATTGCAGGTGGAGGCTTAACCTACTATGCCACAGAACCAGCCCCACAAATAAATCTTTAAAAAGAATTTTAACTAGGGGCCAGCGCTGTGGCGCAGCAGGTTAAAGCCCTGTCCTGAAGCACCAGCATCCCATATGGGCGCCGATTCGAGTCCCGGCTGCTCCTCTTCTGATCCAGCTCTCTGCTATGGCCTGGGAAAGCAGTAGAAAGAAGATGGCCCGAGTCCTTGGGCCCCTGTATCCGCATGGGAGACCCAAAAGAAGCTCCTGGCTCCTGGCTTCAGATCGGGGCAGTTCCAGCCTTGCGGCCATTTAGGAAGTGAACCAGTGGAAGGAAGACCTTTCTCTCTGTCTCTCTGTCTGTAACTCTCTCAAATAAATAAATTAAAAAAGGGGCTGGCACCATGGCTCATTTGGTTAATCCTCTGCCTGTGGCGCCAGCATCCCATATGGGCACCAGGTTCTAGTCCCAGTTGCTCCTCTTCCAGTCCAGCTCTCTGCTGAGACCCGGGAAGGCAGTGGAGGATGGCCCAAGTGCTTGGGCCCCTGCAACCCCCATGGGAGACCAGGAAGAAGCACCTGGCTCCTGGCTTCGGATCGGCGTAGTTCCGGCTGTGGCAGCCATTTATGGGGTGAACCAGCGGAAGGAAGACCTTTCTCTCTGTCTCTCTCCCTAACTGTCTAACTCGATCTGCCAAAAAAAAAAAAAAAAAAAAAAAGGCTGGATCGAATCAGAGGCCAGACTCTTGACTTCAAATCAGTGAAATATACAAAGAAGTAACAGAAGACAGCAAAAAGCCTAGAAAACAGGTATCAGGCATATGATAAAAACATCAAACCAGTGACAAAGCATGCATTATGCACAAGATAGCACAGGTACAAAGATTAAATACTTCAGAAAAAAACCAAATCCTTCTCATACCATATTCTTCTAAACTAAAAATTCAAATAAAAAACATGTACAAACCAAAAGAGAGGCCAGTGTTGTGGTGTAGCAGGTAAAGCCACACCTGAGACACCCATCCCATATGGGCACTAGTTCTTGTCCTGGCTGCTCCACTTCTGATCTTGCTCCCTGCCAATGGCCTGGGGGAGCAGCCGCAAATGACCCAAGTGTTTGGGCTCCTGCCACCCACAAGGGAAACCTGGATGAAGTTCACGGCTTTGGCCTGGCTCAGCCCTGGCTATTGTGGCCACTTTGGGGAATGAACCAGTAGATGGAAGATCTCTGTCTTTCCTTCTAACTTTTTCAAATAAATAAATCTTTAAAAATAAATAAATAAAAATAAAAAGAACTAAAAATAAATAGAAACACTTAAATAAAGACTAGATTACATATATTTTAAAAATTTATTTAAGGGAGAGGGACAGAGACAAGGAAAGAGAGACAGTCAGTCAGTCAGAGATCTCCCATCCAGCAGTTCACTCCCCCAAACACCTGCAATTGCCGGGACTGGACCAGGTCAAGGCAGGGAGCTGAGAACTGAAGCCAGGTCTCTCACATGGGTGGCGGCAGGGACCCAACCACTCGAGCCAGCACCTGGCGCCTCCCAGGGCACAGGTTAGCCAGAAGCTGGAATGAGGAGCAGGGTCAGAGCTTGAAGGCACTCCAATATGGGAGGAGGGTATCTTAACCGATGTCTTAATCACACAGCCAAATGCCTGACCCTTGTCTTTTTCCAGAGGAAAAACTTACATGTGTGCAAGTGGTGGCAGATGTCTGGATAATTTTTTTTTAAGATTTATTTATTTATTTGAAAGGCGGAGTTACAGAGAGGCAGAGGCAGAGAGAGGTCCTCCATCCACTGGTTCAGGCCCCAAACAGCAGCAACAGCTGGAGCTGGGCTGATCTGAAGCCAGGAGCTTCTTCCAGGTCTCCCACACAGGAGCAGGAGCCCAAGGACTTTGGCCATCTGGGTTTTTTTTTTTGGCAGCTGCCACACACAGGTTTATTTGTGAAGCCCCAGGCACAGCCCAGACACACAAAGCACAAAGGGAAAGCACAGGTGGCTAAGGGGTCCCAGGGCGGCTCCTGCCAGCACAGGAGCAAGTGGAGCAGCCAGGCTCATCTGGGATGCTGGCACTGCAGGCAGAGGATCTACCCGCCACGGGACACAGGGCTGGCCCCTCTAGAGGATTTAACAAAGCCTGCAAGGTTGGTTGCTCCTATGCAGGGAAACTGGGGACGCAGTATAGAAAGTTGATCCTTCTCTTTTGTCACTTTTAAAAGCAGTATCAAGTATATATATATGATCCACTGAGAAAAACAAACAAAATTTATAAATACACATGGGCTGGCGTTGTGGCACAGTGGGCTAAGCCACTGCCTCAGCACTGGCTTCCCATGTAGAGCATTGGTTGGAGTCCTGGTTGCTCTGCTTCCGATCCAGCTCCCTGCTAACGTGTGCCTGGGAAGACAGCAGGAAATGGCCCAGGTGTCAGGACATCTGCCACACACATGGGAGACCTGGATGGAGTTCCGAGCTCCTAGCTTCAGCCTGGACCAGAACCAGCCGTTGCAACCATCTGAAGAGTGAACCAGGATCTGGAAGATACCTCTCTCTCCCTCTTCTTTCTCACTCACTCTGTAACCATACCTTTCAAATAAATTAGTAATTCACTCAATTTCTTTTTAAAGTATGAACACACACCTCTGCTCACACACATATCAGTTGTAAGCTTATACGGGAAAATAATACAATATATTCTTAAGTGGAAAAAAAAAGGCTGTAAAAGCTTAGAAGGATTAATTTCTAATATTTTTCTTGGTAAGGTTGTAGGTGATCTCTTTGTTTCAGTAACTCTGCCTTTCAAATTTAAAAAAGTAAAAATAGGCAGTTACAGAGAGACAGAGAGAGAGAGATCTTTCATCTGCTGGTTCACTTCCCAAATGGCTGCAACAGCCAGAGTTGGTCCAGGCTGAAGTCATGATCCTGCAGCTCCATCCAGGTCTCCCATATGGATGGCAGGGGCCGAAGCACTTGGGCCATCTTCCACTGCCTTCCCAGGTGCATCAGCAGGGAGCTGGATCAGAAGAGGAGCAACTAGGATTGGAACCAGCCAGCACCACAACACCAGCCCCCAGTGACCCATTCTTAGCCCTCCTCTTCCTGCACCTCCCAGAAGTGTCTGACCTGGTTAAACAGCCTGCAGCAACCTGCCTCCACTCCCCGAGATCAAAGGTCCCTGGACTGCTGTCTACTTCACCGGCTCCTCCTGCCACCCAGTGAGCTCACCAGGTCTGGGGCTTCCAACGTATTCCAAGAATATGCCAGTGATTCTAAGTTATCTTAGTCCTGGGCTTCCCCGAGTTTCCAACAGCATCATCAACTACTGACTCCCTCTCCCTCACCCCCCCTAAAACAGCTGCTCCGCCATCCACACTGCTGCTCGCGTCCAGGAGCCAAGCCTCACTCTTCACACCTCTCCCTCGCACCCTGCAACGGCTTCAGCAGTAAGTCAGGGACAGCTCTTCCTCCAGAACAGATCCCAGTTTGATCCTTGTCCCTCTACGGTTTACCCTGCACCCAGCACCCAAGCCAGCTAACTAGAAAGCGCCACGTGCCCAGCCTCCTCCTCAGTTTCCACGTCTTCCTGACCCCTGGAACCAGGCCCGCCTTCCTCTCCGACCAGCCAGCTCCCGGCTCCCGGCTCCCTTCACACAGCCCTGCAGCGACACCGCCTGCACGTCTGGTCCCGTGGCTCAACCTCTGTAGCCGCTCTCCCTTCCGCTTAGACCATTCCGCCCTCACATCTGTGCATGTCCGCCTCCTTCCCACCCAACTCAGATTTCAACGGCAGTGTCAGCAGGGCGGCAGGGCCCTCCCTGGAGGCCACGCCAGTCACGTTCGACCACGTCTTGCTGCTTGATCTCCACAGAACCGTTCGATACTGGAAACTGACCGACGTGGTGCGTACAGGCCTGCTGCTGCTCTCCTCCCCACAGAAGATGAGCGTGCGGTCTAGCTCACCACTTAGCCCCAGCAAGAACACAGGTGCTTGGCACAGAGCATTTACTGACCAACCGAACGACTATTCTATAACTGAAAATCTGGACTGTGCTATCTTTTGACATTATACTCAAGTTTATCGTAACATAAGCATTCTTCAAAAAGCTCATGAAAAAATGGGATTAAAAATAAGTGTTTTAGTGCAAAAAAATTTGAGATCTAGGCATGGTTTTCTCACAATACCCATTTTCCATGAGCTGTTGGAAGTACCCCCATTTTCTAATATCAGAAATGGAGAGAACTGACAAGACAATAGATTCTGATTACCTGAAAAGGAGCTAAGTGTCCTGCAGGAGGCTGGCTAACAAAGGTGGGACGGGATAGAGCCGGACAACAGGGCAAACATGGCCGTCACAGCATGACAGAGAGCGGCAAGGAACGCTGTGCAAGCTGTCTGGCCGACTGGAAACACCAAGCTGCCCGACAATACACTGGATGAGGCCCCTTTGTTTGGAGCGCAAGCATGTTTGCTTGGATACGCACAGAAAATTTCTCTCCGGTCGCCCTACTGAAAGGCTGAGGGGATCACCACTTACTGTTTACCACTAGAAGCCAAAATGTGCTAGAACACTCTTACCTCGGCTACGGCGAGCTCAGCACTTCGCACCACACTCTGTCAAAGGCTTGATGGTTTCTAGTCCTTTAAACACACACTTTCCATTTTTTAAAATAAGGCGTAATCGAGTGAGGAAAACCAGGCAGGCACTGGCATCTCGGAGAGCTCGGGTAGGGAACATGGCCAGATGCTACCGCTCCTCTACGCCTTCCCGCCAGAGACCGAGAAAGCTGCCGACGCCGACTCTCGCTCCTTCACACAGACTGAGGGGGAAGGCATGGAGCACCAGACCTGGCCCAGTTATCGGGCACCAACGAGTGTCTGAACATGCGTCCGCTGCCCAGTGAAAAGGGATGGACACGACTGACGCCGCCTCCCCTCTCCTTATTCAGCCACGCTGAACCATGGGAGCAGTCCGGGCGCGGGGTGTCACCCTTCAACAGAGGAGCCAGCCCTTCCCGCTGCTTAAAGAAGAAACGTCAACCTCCCTTCATTTAAGGCACTGTGAACTGGGTTCTGTAACCTATGGCCAAACCTAACTGCACTCCTGGTAATCTTTTTTAAAAAGAAACTAAAAGCAAAACAAAACCTCAAATTCTATGCAGATTTAGAAAGATCAGAACAAGTCAGAAATGTATGCTGCCAACCAATTCCCTTCCTTCATGTCTTGGAAGTTTTAAAATATAAACAAAAAACTCCAAGAAATCAGAAAAGAACAAAAAAAAATCACAATAAACAATACCTCCATACAAAAGACCTCAGAATGGGGCCAGTGACATGGCACATGGGGTTAAGCCATCACCTGCAACACCAGCAGCCCACAGGAGCACTGGTTCGAGTCCCAGTTGCTCCACTTCTGATCCAGCTCCCTGTTAATGCTCCTGGGAAAGCAGTGGAAGAAGGCTCAAAGGCTTGGGCCCTGCCTCCCAGGTAGGAGACCCGGAGAGAGTACGCGGCTTCAGGCTTCAGCCTGGCCAGCCTGCACTGTTGCAGCCATTTGGGGAGTGAACCAGCGGATAGAAGATTCTCTCTCCCTACCTCTCCCCAACTCTACCTTTCAAATAAATAAATTAAAAAAAAAAAAAGACTCCAGAATACACACATTAAAAACTTCACACACAATGAACTCACACAGTAAAGCTGAAGGCAGGTCAATGCTGGGGCTGCTCTGGACTAACATTCATTGTTCGGTAAATTTCCTTGAGTAATAACAGGGCAGTATCTTCAGATTCCCTTTAAAACAAAAAGAAAGAAAACAAAACGCACGTGTATTTAACAGACAATCAGCAGAAATCAGTCTCTCCACACGCTGGTGGTGCAGGGAGCAACCACCGTTCTATTCGACTCTGCCTAAGAAGGGCAAACAGCAGTGCCCCAGTGAGATCTCGGAGCTGTCCTCAAAACTGAACGGACGCCAGTCAGTTCTGTTCTAAGTCTCCTTGATGACACCCCTATCACCCACTAAAGGACTGGAGTTGTGGCACAGAGGGTTAGGCAGTTCCTTTAGCACCAGCATCCCTCTTGGGCACTGGTTCACGTCTGGGCTGCTCCACTTCGGATCCGGCTCCCTGCTAATGCGCCTGGGAAAGCAGCGGAGGACGGCCCAAAGGCTCGGGCCTGTGCACCCACGTGGAAGACCCAGAAGAAGCTCCTGCAAGCCTTGGGCCTTGTGGCCATTTAGGGGAGTGGACAGGCAGATGGAAGATCTCTGTCTCTCCCTATCTCTGCCTTCCAAATAAATAAATCTTTAAAAAAGGGGAAAAAAATTAAAAAGGAATGGCTTTTTAAAGTCCTATGGTGAAAGGCATCCCTACAAAATCAGTGTCCAAATACCAAGGGTCTTTGGTCAAAGGCAGGTGACATACTGCCATCTTGTGGATGACGAAAGGAGCTCAAATTAATATTCCACAATAAATGCACTATCAGCAAAAGAATCTCAGTTCAACGGCAGTTTGTGCTGGCAGGTAAAGGCCACCACAATGTTATGTAGGTGAGGAACACTTACCAATAGCATAAGTGACTCTGAAGAGCGAAAAGATATTCATTAAAACTCTCTATTGGCTTTTCCTGAAGAACATAATCAATCCGGCGGCCTCCATTTAACATTCCAACTTTTCCTAAGTAGTCTTCATCCTTGGAAAAATCTGGACTTTCAACAATCTTTTCTGCTAGAATTTAAACCATTTCAATATCAAAGTCAATCACTTAATCATTATCCTTTGACTTTAGCTGACTTTCTGGGCTCAGTGTGAACACTGCTTGACACACGTAGTAACTGGGGAGCTACAGGCTCACTCCCCATTCCTCCAAAGAGCCAGGGGAAGAGGGCTGGTTACCCCTGAGAGGAGAAAAAGCCAACAGCTGGCAGAAGTTGTGAAGGGGTGAGAGAGCATTGCAGAAAGAAAGGAAATAGAGTTAGAATCTGAACAAGTCAAAAACATCACGGCACAATGACCAGATACTGCGTATGAAGCGTATAAGGATACAACTAAGCACCAGCACCAGGAAGGGAACTTCTCAGAGGAAGTGTCTGAAAGGCCTAGACACACGTGGCTCAACTCTGGCCTTAACAATCTCAACAAAATTCAAAAAGTACACAATAAAAAGTTCAGTAATTATCAGATAAAAAGATCTATGTAGAAGGATGACATGGATGTTAGAGTAATGCATCTGACAGTACAGTCTCCCATGACAGACTGCCCATCACAGGAGTCTCTACAATTCAAAGGCTGGAACGACAAGTCTCATACAATCAATTCTAAGTGTTACGCTCATAGTCATCTCTGTACTGGAAAACGCCTCAAATGGCAAATTTACCTTCAACCACTTGCTTTTCTTCTTCTTCTTTGATTTGATTGGCTACCTTCTCCAATTCTTCTTGCAACTGAGTTGAAGAGGTATGAGCACGGGCAAACTCATTTAATGTCTGCCACGCGCTTTTCAAAGAGCTAATAAAACCCTGCTTCAAATCAGATCCCATACGAGAGAGACTTTCTTTCAACTCTAAAGAGAGCAAGATGACATGCCAAGTTAGACACTGGGTAAAATTCTGCATTACAAAAAGCAAGTTAACATTTCCCAGATAGCAGAGGACCTCTTCCCCCTTCATTCTCAAACCCCATATTTATGGGATTTCCATGTGACGCTGTGATATAGGTACACATTGTCAAGTCAGGGTGAGCAGATCCACACCCTAAAACATCCATCACTTCTTTGTGGCAAAAACATTCCCGGTCGTTTCTCCTAGCTTTGCTGAAGCACAGAGTACGTCATCACTATCCATCATCACCCACTTGCGATATGACAACAGAACTTCTCCCCCTAAACTCAGGTCCCCCCCCCAACCAACCTTTCCCTGTCCTTCCCACTGCCTCTCCCCCACCGTCTGTAACCACTGTCCTACTCCGAACTCTGTGAGCTCCACATTTTTCAATTTCACACACAGCTGAGATCACGCAGCTGTCAACCTCTTCCTCTCAGAAATGTCGGATATAGGAGGTGTCTCAGCCAAGAAATCTCAACATGCCAAAACACTGTGAGAAATCTTACTCTGCCATATTTTTTAAGATTCATTTATTTACTTGAGAGGCAGAGTTACAGACAGAGAGAGGGAGAGACAGAGAGTGGTCTTCCATCCACTGGTTCACTCCCCAAATGGCCACAATGACCGGAGCTGGGCCAATCCAAAGCAAGGAGCCAGGAGCTTCTTCTGGGTCTCCCACAGGGGTGCAGGGACCCAAGCACTTGGGTCATCTTCCACTGCTTTTCCAGGTGCATTAGCAGGGAGCTGGACTGGAAGTGGAGCAGCCAGGACTCAAACCAGCACCCATATGGGATGCCAGTGCCACAGGAAGAGACTTAACCAACTATGCCACAGAGCCAGCCACAATTTTTTAATTGAAACGTAGAGTGACAGAGACAGAGACAGAGACCTTCCATTGGCTGGTACACTCTCCAAATGCCCACAACAGCTGGAGCTGAGCCTGGCTGAAACCAGGAGACCAGAACTCAATCCAGGTCTCCTACATGGATGTCAGGGACTCAAGTACTTGGCCATCATCTGCTTTTTCCCAGGGTCCACATTAGCAGGAAGCTGGATCAGAAGCAGAGTAGCCAGGACCTGAACCAGGACTGATATGGGATGTGAGCTTCCCAAGCAGCAGCTGAACCATCTGTGCCACAATTCTCACCACCTGTCATTTCTTTATTATGTCTAAACTTCATCCAGTCAAAACTGCTAAATTTCTTCTTTCCAAAACACATTAGGTCAAATACCATCAAAATAAGCACATTCACATGCTTCTTTAAGTTAAAAACTGGCCCACAAGATTAAAACTCACTTTTTCTAAACTGTAACAGGAAAATGGTTTTGAAAATTTAAAATTCTGATATAACCACAATTTAAACTTCTAATTTAGAAATGAGAAATTCCTGCCCCTTCATTTTCTCTGTTCTTATCTAATAATAGTTGATTCAACATCTGAGTTGTGAAATTTCTCAACTTTCAAATAGTTAAACATTTTTATTTTTTTTTCTTTTTTTATTTTATTTTTTGACAGGCAGAGTAGACAGTGAGAGAGAGAGAGAGAGAGGTCTTCCTTTGCCGTTGGTTCACTCTCCAATGGCCGCCGCGGCTGGCGCGCTGCTGCTGGCGCACCGCGCTGATCCGATGGCAGGAGCCAGGTGCTTCTCCTGGTCTCCCATGGGGTGCAGGGCCCAAGCACCTGGGCCATCCTCCACTGCACTCCCTGGCCACAGCAGAGAGCTGGCCTGGAAGAGGGGCAACCGGGACAGAATCCGGTGCCCCGACCGGGACTAGAACCTGGTGTGCCGGCGCCGCAGGCGGAGGATTAGCCTAGTGAGCCGCGGCGCCGGCCAGTTAAACATTTTTAAAAAACATGATGTTGGCGGCCGGCGCCGCGGCTCACTAGGCTAATCCTCCGCCTAGCGGCGCCGGCACACCGGGTTCTAGTCCCGGTCGGGGCGCCGGATTCTGTCCCGGTTGCCCCTCTTCCAGGCCAGCTCTCTGCTGTGGCCAGGGAGTGCAGTGGAGGATGGCCCAGGTGCTTGGGCCCTGCACCCCATGGGAGACCAGGAAAAGCACCTGGCTCCTGGCTCCTGCCATCGGATCAGCGCGGCCGCGGCGGCCATTGGAGGGTGAACCAACGGCAAAGGAAGACCTTTCTCGCTGTCTCTCTCTCTCACTATCCACTCTGCCTGTCAAAAAAAAAAAATTAGAAAAAAAAAAAAAGAAAAACATGATGTTGGCAAAACACACTTTTAAACAAGAGGACATGACCACTTGTTCTTCTCTACCCTCCCATCCCTTCTACCCCCTCTTTTAAACCAAGGAATAAATAATATACACAGACAACAAGCTAAAGAAAAATCTAGGGGTGGCATAGTGGCACCTTGTGGTAAGCTGCCACCTTTGATGCCAGAGTCCCATATGGCTGCGACTGGTTCGAGTCCCAGCTGCTCTACTTCTAGGCCCTGCCAAAGCACCTGGGAAAGCAGTGGGAGATGGCCCAAGTACTTGGACCCCTGCCACCCAAGTGGGAGACCCAGAGGGAGTTCCAGGCTCTTTCCTGGCCTCAGCCTGGCCCAACACCAGCTGTTGAGCCATTTGTGGAGTGGAGTGAACCAGCAGATGGAAAATCTCACTCTGTCTTTCCTTTCAGATAGATAAATCTCAAAAAAAAAAAAAAAAAGGGAGGGAGGGAAGATCAAAACCTACTTGGAATTATCAATATCAATACATTATATTTAATGAATTTTTATAAGAAAAATTTGGTTGGCAAGGAAATAATAGCTCACTTGACTTAGACAATATCACATCTAGTTCTTGATGGTATGGTCATTAGTTTAATGTTATTCTTCTTCCGAATTCCAAAAATTATAATCAAACTCTATCAAAATCTAACTATGCATCTTATTACCAACTTCTTCCATTCCTAAATACCTCAACAATTAGAATGCCATCAAAGAGAGGGAATGCATTAGTAACTGTTTTACAGCTTTCCAAATCCATAGTTTAAAAGGTTCTGACAGGCGCCAGCATTGTAGCACAGCACGGATTCCATGTAAGAGTGCCAGCTGGGAGTCCCAGCTACTCTGCTTCTGATCCAGCTTCCTGCTAATGCACCTGCAAAGGCAGTGGAAGACGGCCCAAGTGTCTAGGTCCCTGACACCCATGTGGGAGGAGCAGGATGGAGCTCCTGGCTCCTGGCTTCTGCCTGCCCCGGCCCTGGCTGCTGCAGACATCGGAAAGCAAACCAATGCATGGAAGTTGTCTCTGTGTGTCTGCCTCTCTCTCACTTTACCTTTCAAAAAAATAAATTAAAAAAAAAAAAAAATCCTGAACATAGGCACTTAAATAACATTAGTTCTGATAGAAAGGACCTAATGCTAAAATTTTCATAATTCATTACAGATCACAAAATGAAAAAGAAAACAAGTTTTCATAGTATTTGCTTTTTACCTAAATGAAGTCTTTTTCTGCCTTTATGATGTGGAATGAGAACTGCTTTGAGGTCCAAATCTGGAACAATCATAGGTTCTAGCCTATATGCCACTGGATCAAGCTATAATAGAAGAATTGGAAATTTATGAAGAGTTGTTTTAATTTTAGCTATATGCCTTAGTTGGGTAAGAAAATGGGTAACTGGCAAATTGATTTTTTTCCACATCAAATACTGGCCATTTCATATAAGATTTTCAAGTGTGTGGGTAAAATTACAGGCAAAGCAATAGAATTATTTCATTCAACAAAGGCTTTTTGATAGAAAATTTTATTGGAAAGTATTAGATTGTATCACTTAGGACAGAAAACTGAGCCTTACAAAATCAAGATCAATATTAATTCCAACAAAATAAGAATCTGAGAATTTATTAGGATTAAAAAAAGACAAGTTCTTCATCTTCCTCATAATAGAAAGTAAACCCAACACACTCACCGGATGATAAATATTGAAGAATCCTTTACAAGTAGGAAGCCGGTAATTCTCATCTATCCTATCCACTCCTCGAACAGTGAGAAACATACCAATTGGAGATCCCAAGGCAAAGAAAATCTCTGGCTCAAAGTCTAATGAGTTATAAACAACAGAAACCTAGAAAAAAAATCAAACAAGAATAAAAGGCAGCCATTCCAAAGTCACATAATACACAATTTTTTTGAGTTTTTCAGAGTTCTTGGACCCACACTCACTTTTTTTTTTAAAAAAAGATTTATTTATTTGAAAGAGTTACAAAGAGAGAGGAGAGGCAGAAAGAGAGAGAGAGAGAGAGAGAGAGAGAGAGAGAGGTCTTCCATCTGTTGGTTTACTCCCCAGCTGGCCACAACGGCTGGAGCTTTGCCGATCCGAAGCCAGGAGCCAGGAGCCTCCTCCAGGTCTCCCACGCGGGTGCAGGGCCCAAGGCCTTGGGCCATGCTCCACCACTTTCCCAGGCCACAGCAGAGGATGCCTCCCATGGACAGCTGTTGCTCAGGGAGACTAAAAGTTTTCTCCTTAAATCTTTGGGCTATTCTTTCACCTGCTGTCAAGCATTAACTACAGGTACACAGTATATAGGAAGCATAATATTTATAAAGTGCTTAGCACAGGGCTTGGCATTTTTTTAAAGATGTATTTATTTATTTGAAAGGCATAGTTACAGAGAGAGGGAAAGTCAGAGAGACGGGGCCGGGTTGGGGGGTTACTTTCTATCTGCTGGCTCATTCCCTAAATGGCCTCAGCAGCCAAAAGTTTTGGGCCAGACCAAAATCAGGAGCCTGGAACTCTATCCAGGTCTCCCACATGGGTGGCAGGGGCCCAAATCTTCCATTGCTTTCCCAGGCACATTAGCAGGAAGCTGGACTGGGAGCAGAGCAGCTGGGACTCAAACCGGTGCTCATATGGGATGCCAATGCCATAATGGTGGCTCAACCTGCTGCACCACAATACCAGCCCTGGCTTGGCACATCTTAAGCATTCAACAAACATCACTACTCTAAAATTTTTTTTTTTAAATCATGTATTTTCACTTTATCTGGAAGACACAGGGACAGAGCTCTTACACCATTGCATTGGTCGACTCCAAATGCCCACCACAGCCAGGGCTAGGCCGGGCAGAAACCACTTGGGGGGCAGAGCCTCAACTACTCGAGTCAAGACCTGCTGTCTCCTAGGGTGCACATCAGCAGGAAGCTGGAGTCAGAAATGGAGTCAGAATTTGAAGGCAGACACTCCAATATGGGATTCAGGTGTTTAACCACCACGGTGAATGTTACTTCTATTGTAACTACCACCCTCTCTAGTTATGGCAAGTTTCTTTCCATTAGAAAAAATATTTGTCCCCAAGGAGCCCCTGCTTGGAGTGGCTTGCGCACAGTCTCTCCTAAGCATTGGCATCCGCATAAGCACTCTGTGGTTTACAGAGCTGTCTCATTTGTGTCTCAGTGGCAGGAAGTGCATCCTTGCATTTCAGTATCCTGAAAGTAAAGAACACTACATGGCACAGTGCAACCCACTGAAAGAGGGAGGGAAGGCAAGAACCACCACACCCACCTCTCAGACGCAGCCAGTGATGCTCAGATGTGTGACAGGCTTAGCCCAGAACACACAGCCAGAGGGTGACAAAAGGAGGGATTACATCCAATCACATCGAGGACTTGGAATTCCAAATCCAACGCTCTTTGTATTACACTGTTGCCCTTCTAACAAGGTCTAGAGTTCCCATCCCTAGCTGGCCCTTATATACGCAAATCCAAGAAGTAAAGAAGAGTTATGAGAGAAAGAGGCCGGCACTGCGGCTCACTAGGCTAATCCTCCGCCTTGCGGCGCCGGCACACCGGGTTCTAGTCCCGGTCGGGGCGCCGGATTCTGTCCCGGTTGCCCCTCTTCCAGGCCAGCTCTCTGCTGTGGCCAGGGAGTGCAGCGGAGGATGGCTCAAGTACTTGGGCCCTGCACCCCATGGGAGACCAGGAGAAGCACCTGGCTCCTGCCTTCGGATCAGCGCGGTGTGCCAGCCGTGGTGGCCATTGGAGGGTGAACCAACGGCAAAGGAAGACCTTTCTCTCTGTCTCTCTCTCTCACTGTCCACTCTGCCTGTCCAAAAAAAAAGAGAGAGAAAAAAAAGGGAGGGAAGGAGGGAAGGAGGAAAAAGAAAAACACAAAATGAAACGAAACTTAAAAGAAAAATAACAAGGGGCTGGTATTGTGGTGTGGCAGGTTAAGTTGCTGCTTCCAAGACCAGCATCCATGTGAGTACCAGTTTGAGTCCTGGTTGCTCCACTTCTGATCCAGCTCCCTACTAATGCATCTGGGAAAGCAGTGTAAATGGCCCAGGTGCTTTGGGCCCCTGTACCCACATGGGAGATCCAGAGATCCAGGTTTCTTGCTTCAGCCTGGATGTTGTGGCCATTTGGAGAATGAACTAGAGGATAGATGAGCTCTCTCTTTGTCCCTTCTCTGTAACTCTGCCTTTCACATAAACAAATTAAAAAAGATTACTTAAAAAATATATGACAAGGGACCAGCGCTGTGGTGCAGCGGGTTAACGCCCTAGCCTACAGTGCCAGCGTCCCATATGGCAGCACCTCTTTCGATCCAGCTCTCTGCTATGGCCTGGGAAAGCAGTAGAAGATGGCCCAAGTGCTTGGGCCCCTGCACCCACATGGGAGACCTGGAAGAAGCTCCTGGCTCCTGGCTTCAGAAGCTCCAGCTGTTGTGGCCATCTGTGGAGTGAACCAGTGGATGGAAGACCTCTCTCTGTCACTCTGTCTTTCAAATAAGTAAAATGAATCTTAAATATATATATATATATGTTTTATATATATTTATTTTTATATATATATATATATATATATATATATATATATATATGACAAGCTGTTAACAGCATTAATATATTGAAGAACCAAAGTGACTCCGTTTTAAAACAATAAAAAAAGCAGCCTCTGTTTCCCATAGCAGACCCGGGTCCTCGTAAAAGCAGGCATTCAGGCATTCCAGAGATATCAAAGCTCACCAGGGACAGCTGGCTCGGTAGACCAAGGACAGCACAGCAGAGATTGCTGAACAAAGTAACTCCCTGTGCCCAGAGCTCCCGAGCTGTAAGACCCGTTGTAACTCCCTGTACCCAAAGCTTCCGTGCTGCACGTAACTTCTTTTTCCTGCTGATGTTGCCCTTTTTTTCCTTTAAAAACTCTCCCAAACAAAGACCGGGGCCTCACTCCTTCCTCCGCTGTGCCGGCTGGTTGGACGGGGCCCCTGTCGCGGCTTGTACTCCTGAATAAACCTTGCTTTTGCAGTTCGGTGAGATCGACTCTCTGGGGGTCTCTGCGGGGATCTAACGATCTGGGCACAACATATTTTTTGGTGCCCAACAATATAAAGAGTTTTTAATATCAGTAAAGAAAAAAGAAATCTAACAGAAAAATAGGTGAAACTAGCCCATCACAAGGGAACAATACCATATGAGAAAATATCTCATATGGTTAAAGAAATACCAAGTGACACCATTTTCTCTTCGGTAAGCAGTAGTTACCAGATTTTCATGGGTTTATCCTTTGGCCCAGTGATACTACTTCTAGCAATTTAACTGATAGAAATAATAAACAATGTACACAGAAAGCTGATTTTCACAATCATCAGGAAAGACAAATGGAAACTGCCTGCATGCTCAATGTTATGAGTTGAATGTATCCCGTCAATAATAGCTGAAGGCCTAACCCCCAGCACTTCAGAATGTGACTTTATGTGAAAACAGGGACTTTCAATGGCTAATCAAGCTAAAATGCAGTTATCAGGGACTAGCGTTATCACACAGTGGGTTAAGTCACCTCCTACGATGCCTGTATACCAAACTGAAGCAACATCCCAAATTGGAGCTCTGCTTCCGATCCAGCTCCCTGCTAATGTGCCTGGGAAAGCAGTGGTGATGGCTCAAATGCTTGGGCCCCTGCCACCCATGTGGGAGATCCAGATGGAGTTTCAGGCTCCTGGCTTTGGCCTGGCCCAGACCTGGCCATTGAAGCCATTTGGGACTGAACCAGTGAATGGAAGATCAATCTCTCTCTCTCATTCTGCCTTTCAAATAAACAAAATAAGCCTTGAAAAAAAATAATAAAGTCATTAGATGGCTCTCACCTGGTATGAATGGTACTGTTACAAAAAGGAGGAATTTGGACACAGCCAGCCATGCAGAGGGAAGCTGACGTGAAGAGACAGGGAGGACACGACATGAAAACAGAGCAGAACGCTGCATCTCTAGAAAGGGCTGCAATGCCGGCCAGCAGGACACCCCCCCCCCCACCCCCGCCAAGCTGGGAAGAACAAGGACAAATCCCCCTACAGGTTTCCAGGGGAGAATGGCCCTATTAACTAACAATACTTTGATCTCAGACTTCCGGCCTCCTTCAGAATTGTGAGACAATAAATTCCCATTATTCCAGGCCACCAGGGTTTGGAACTGCTGTCATGGCCACCCTAGGAACCTAGCAGAGCCATTAAGAAGGGAATGACAGAATACAACATTATCTTTCCAAACCGGGAAACAAGCCATCACCAAAACACGATGCTGGAGACAAATAGTCACTGATGTGGGAATATATCCAAAATACACTGACAGCCTGAAAGCAGAACAGTAGAACGGTATATATATTTCATATTGTTCCTGTTTTTAATAAAATACACGTGTAAACACACCTCACTCAAAGTCCAAGAGGCCCCGCTCAAATAGTTAAAGGCCGCTAGTTCTGGCTAAGGAGATGGCAACAGATGTTTTTTTCTTTAAATCTTCTTTTGCTGATCTCTATTTCTTGGTTTCTCAGTAACACATGATGCACACTGCAGCTACTGCTTGGACTGCTCAATGACCCTCTGCGTAACAGGCCCTGCCTGCCTGGCCCACCCACCTGGAGGTGACAGGCGACCTGGGCTGGAGTCAACCAACCTGTGTGCTCCATTCCCCAGGCCGGAACAACTGGTCCAGAATGGACTCAAACCAGGGCAAGTGAAATTCCTCAGAATATTCCTACCTGGCCCTAACAGGGCACGTTCCTTTTCCTCTGTGGTCATAATGCTGTACAGAGATGAGCCTGGAGCCAGCAACAGCCGTGACCCTGCTTTAATGGAGAGGCCACCGCCCCGACAGAGGTGTGCACACAGCGTCCTGGGCACAGTCCCTTTCGTGCTCTCACCCTGCCCTCTATCCACCAGAGTCTGCTCATGTTTGCTCATGTTTGAAAAAAGAGACATTTTAAAAATGCCATCACTAAGAATGAATGGGGGCCGGTGCCGCAGCTCACTAGGCTAATCCTCCGCCTTGTGGCGAAGGCACACCGGGTTCTAGTCCCTGTCAGGGCGCCAGATTCTGTCCCGGTTGCCCCTCTTCCAGGCCAGCTCTCTGCTGTGGCCAGGGAGTGCAGTGGAGGATGGCCCAAGTGCTTGGGCCCTGCACCCCATGGGAGACCAGGAGAAGCACCTGGCTCCTGCCATCGGATCAGCGCGGTGCACCGGCCACGGTGGCCATTGGAGGGTGAACCAACGGCAAAGGAAGACCTTTCTCTCTGTCTCTCTCTCTCTCCTGTCCACTCTGCCTGTCCAAAAAAAAAAAGAATGAATGGGCTTCAGCGTTGGCTGTTGCAGCCATCTGGGGAGTGAATTACAGCACACAGAAGATCTCTCTGTCTGTCTCTCCCCTTCTCTCTGTAACTCTTTCAAAATACATAAATCTTTTAAAACATGAACGAATGAATGGGCTTGCAAGTTTGCACAGGCTCTATAAAACATCCAGGCCCCTTCTGTGCCTTTTTAGAAGTCATTAGGAGCTGACACATGGTGATGGTGTTACACACACAAACAAAGTATTCTCAACGTGTCACCATCTAAAAATATTTGGATACATCTAAGCACTGAGATACAAGTGTATTAAACATATTAAATGCTGCACTGTCAACTACTTGGAAAGCTTTTCTAAGAATTTTTTCCCAGGGCAAGAACTGTGAGGACTTGAAAACTCAAGTTGAATGAATCCAACATGTTTCTCTCACAGAAATTAAAGTGCAGGGGGCCGGTACTGTGGCACTGCAGGTTAAAGCCCCAACCTGCAGTGCCGGCATCCCATGTGGGCACTGGTTCGAGACCCGGCTGCTCTACTTCCTATCCAGCCTTCTGCTATGGCCTGAGAAAGCAGTAGAAGATGGCTCAAGTCCTTGGGCCCCTGCACCCACACGGGAGACCAGAAGAAGCTCCTGGCTCCTGGCTTCGGATCGGCTTAGCTCCAGCCATTGTGGCCATTTGGGGAGTGAACCAGTGGATGGAAAACCTCTCTGTCTCTGCCTCTCTCTGTAACTGTTTCAAATAAATAAAATAAATCTTTAAAAAGAGACAAAGAAGAGAAAGAAATTAAAGCACATACTCAATATAATTTTCTAGCTGTATCACTTCTGGTTTAGTGGCTGAAACTAAACTCATAAAATTATGAGTGGTGGAAAAACTGAAACAAAAACAAGTTCAAAAGTTAACAGACATAACTCTACACATGTTTAATCCCCCAATGGAACATTATGAAAGAAGCATAAAAGTTTTACTAAAAGAAAATTATTTTTCCCCACACACACCTCTAAATAACTGTTAAGTATCTGAAGAAGTGAAAGCCAACTCAATGACAAAGATGTACAATTCCTAGAGAAACAGGTACCCTGGCCAACGTGGAAACTCACCTGACCTGTGCCAACCTCAAAAGACTCATAGTCAACTCGCACGGAGGAAACGCAAGCTCCAACCGCAAGCTTCCTCTTGGCCTCGTGACATTCCGAGGGGACAGGAGCCGCATCTTTAGTCTTCTGAGCGCTTTCCTCTTGTCCTCTGGCTGAAGCAGCCGCCACCACCTTCTGTTCTGGTGCAGCTCGTCTCTGTTCCTGTGAACACCACGACACCACCTCAGGGAAAGTTCAGTTCTCACTCGTCACCACACGTGCTCTCCCCACCCTAAGGAATGATGAGTAACTTCTCAGACATAAGAAAGCATTGTGGTTATCAGGAAATAGTACCTACAAAATCTGTTTTAGAAAGGCATACTAAACATTTAAGGAAGAAATGCCAAGATGTTTGTAATTTACTTTAAAAATCTTTTAAGATTAAGAAACAAAGAATCCAGGAAGAGTGACAATTCAATCTATATATGGCTATCATTACACAAAGTCCAAGAGTATTATTTTAAATACCGGAAAACAGATACAAAAGAGCACATATTGTTGGTTCTACTGATACGGGCTTCCAGAACAGGGAAACCATTCTACAGTTATCACAAATCGGAACACAACAGTTCCTACACAAAACGGCTAGCCAAGCTGGCCTTAGCTGTTCATTAGTTCCAAACACCAGGAAACAGGAGGGACCAACTTGCTAACTCCTGGAGTTAAAATGGAAGAAAGGAACCCCTGGCCAGCATTCTGGAGGCTCAGTTACTTCGGCCCTTCTGAGGCAGCACAAGGTTAAACCTAAAACCCAAAACGAAGAACACTTCCAGGGTTCTGTTACATTTGCTTCCTTGCTCAGAAGTACTTCTGGTTATGTTCACAGACCTTAACATCCCATACTGCTTAGCGAGCTGCCTACACAGATGACAAACCATCCTGTTGCTAAGAACTGTTTTGTTCCTCTAACACCAATGCAATGATTTTAAAACTAAGTGAATACACACATACTTGACCATCATTTCCAACACTAAAAACCATTCCTTTTCAAGTGAAAATCACTAAGATAGTTTACAATGAATAATAATAATCAAGAACATGAACCACAAATATTTGGTCTCCTTATGAGAAAATTGGCTCATTTTGGTCCCATTATTTCAGTTACACACACGTATCAATAGGACACACCATATTATCTTATTGATCTGACAACTCCTTGTTATCTGTGCGAACAGCAATCAATGGCAACTCAGTCGAGAAAGTTTTATGCCTCATCCAAAGGCAATTACTTTTGAATCTGAAACATGAGAACACACTATAGATTTTTACTCATCTCCAAACATTCTTGTAATGCCATAATTTATATATCCATGAAATTGCAGTCTATCAACCAGGCTCTTTCTAGAAAATGTTCAAGAACAGAATAGTGTACTTTTCTACTTTTTTTCATTTTATTAGAGTCACACTGAGGACCTGAGGTAGGGTCTGGAAACACCTGTGCTCCACGGACATGCGCAGAGCACAGGAGCACCACCAGCGCACAAGGTGTCCGAGTCTCGGCCTGAGCGTCGTGCTCATCGCAGATGAATCCCGGGGATCCATCCAGGGTCGCAGTGAGGCTAGAGAGATGAGGAGCTCTTTGTAAACCGAATTACAGAATGAGCAAACGTACAAGGAAAATGCGATGGAAACACCGTGAAACTGCCAAAGCTAACCAACATTTCTCAACACTTCATCGAACACTGTCTGAGCCTGTCGAAAACTCCGAAATGTCTGTGACGCTCACTGGAGACAGCAGGTGACGCTCACGTAGATGGACCCCCGGCACCAACAAGGGAGACCAGGCCTGACTTCCCATCTCCCAGCTTCAGCCTGGCTCTGCCCTAGCGGTTGTGAGCTTCTGAGGAGTGAACCAGCAGACAAAAGGGCTCTGTCTCTATCTCTCATCGTCTATTTCTGTGTGTGTGTGTGTGTGTGTGTGTGTCTGCCTTTCAAATAAATTTTAAAAAATAAAATTTCTGGCCAGTGCCACGGCTCAATAAGCTAATCCTCCGCCTGCGGCGCTGGCACACCGGGTTCTAGTCCTAGTTGGGGTGCCGGTTCTGTCCTGGTTGCTCCTCTTCCAGGCCAGCTCTCTGCTGTGGCCAGGGAGATGGCCCAAGTGCTTGGGCCCTGCATCCACATGGGAGACCAGGAGAAGCACCTGGCTCCTGGCTTCGGATCAGCGCGGTGCGCCGGTCGCAACAAGGGAGACCATAAATAAATAAATAAATAAAAATAAAATAAAATTTCTTCTTCTCAGGGCCAGTGCTGTGGCGTAGTAGGCAAAGCTGCCGCCTGCAGGGTTGGCATCCCATATGGGCACCAGCGCACGCGTGTGCGCACACACTCTTTCTCTCCCCTCTCTCTCCCTCCCTCCCTCTCTCCCTCTCTCTGCCTCTCCTCTCTGTGTAACTCTGATTTTCAAATAAATAAATCTTTAAAAAAATTTCTTCTAAGCTATTTCCTCCTTTCCATCTCCTAGTTGGGACCCCTATTATCCTCAGTGATTGTGCCATCCCAATTACCACCCTGAGAGACTCAAGCTTCAACCCCTTCCAACTCCACCTGTGCGCTGTAACCCAGTGAATTTTCCAGAACACACACCTGACCACAGTAAGTGTTTCTTAAATAACATCTCCTCAGAAATGAAACCAAGAGGTTCATTGCTGCTAAAATGAAAATGTGGGGCCAGCGCTGTGGTGCAGCAGGTTAAAGCCTTGGCCTGAAGAACCAGCATCTCATATGGGCACCAGTTCTAGTCCCGGCTGCTCCACTTCTGATCCAGCTCTCTGCTATGGCCTGGGAAAGCAGTAGAAGACGGCCCAAGTGCTTGGGCCCCTGCACCCACATGGGAGACCCAGAAGAAGCTCCTGGTCCCTGACTTCAGATCAGCTCAGTTCTGGCTTTTGTGGCTATTTGGGGAGAGAACCAGAGGATGGCAGACCTCTCTCTGTCTCTCTACCTCACTCTAATTCTGTCTTTCAAATGAATAAAAATAAAACTTTTTTTAAAAAAAGAAACTGTATCCCAATTCATAGGTTTGTCTCAACTTTTAGACTTGTTCAGTTTTTTTTTTTTTATTATTTTAAGATTCTGAATCAGTCAGTAGGCTCTAAGCCCAAGAAAGCAAATGTTAATGGAAAAAAAAGGAAAGAATCCATTCAAAAATTAATTTACTACAGACATGTACTCATGGTGGAAATTTTCTAATGTAGCTTATAGCATATAGTTTCCAATTAAAAAAGTTAAAATTTCTACTAACATGATATGGTGCTAAATTATAATTTGTGATCCAATAAGCACATCTGCATTTTAGACTTGCTTTTAAATATTTACTTATTTATTTGAAAGGCAGATACAGAGAAAGAGAGAGGGAGAGACAGAGAGCGCTCTTGCATCAGCTACTTTACCCCCTATTTGGCCACAATGGCAAGCACTGAGCTGGGTTTCCTACATGGGTGCAGGGGCCCCAGCACTTGGGTCATCTTCTGCTGCTTTCCCAGGAGCAGTAGCAGGAGGCTGGATTGGAAGTGGAGCAGCTAGGACATAAGCTGGCGCCCATATGGGATGCCAGCATCTCAGGCAGCGGCTTAACCTGCTACACAGGTGAGCATTTCACGATACTTGTTTAAAAGAAATATGACTGGGGCGGGCCTGGGGCGCAGAAGGTTAAGCTCCCACTTGGGACACTCATATTCCACATTAGAGCGCCTCGTTCATGTCTCAACTACTTCACTTCTAATTCAGCTTCCTGCTGGTTCAGTCCCAGAAGGCAGCTGGAGATGGCGCAAGTGGTTGTGTCTGGTGTCCAGAGTCTCACATGGGAGACATGGATAGAGTTCCAAGCTCCTGGCCTTGGCTTGCCCTACTCTGGTTGCTGTGGACATTTAGGGGGTGAACTGTGCAGATGGAAGATCTATCACTCTGTCTTCCAAATAAATAAAACAAACTTTTACAAAATAAACCAAAGTACCATGACTTTCATGGCCATATGAACACGCTAGAGAACTACTTCCTTGTGAGAAAACTCAAACTTCTGCATCTGCCATTCAGGCCTGTGGAACCCTCCACACTACCCCACTCCCAGCTCACCTGATGTTTCAGCTACAGGAAGACACACACCTGCTCCTGTAAGGTCACTTCTCCTGATTCTACCCCTTCTCAACAGGCCAGAACTGCTCTGGACAGCAAAGACAGCACTCTGTTAGGGGACTCAAGTACCGTCATTTGTGGTCAGTCCTCTCCCCCTAACTAGACTGCATGTTCTTGGTTCATCTCCAAATCCCAAGAAAAGCACAGTGCCTGACCTAAAAGAAATATCCAATAAAATGTTGGATGATTCAATTCTTTAAGCCAAACATAAAATAATCAGTTCTTTGACTTTATAGTCACATTTCCTAGTTTAAAATAGGAATGTTAAATCCTAGATAAGTAGCAAATAGAACCATCGACGTTTAAGAGACAGGGGAACCATCAAAGATTGTGTTAATACCAATGAAAATAAAAGTCACCGTAAGTGTAAGCTAATTTTTCTAATCAGAAAATCTCTGCAAAATTAAGATGATCAGTAACATTAAAACAAGTTTCCCCAGTTTTTAATTTCTTTCTAAATGCTTTTTTAGTTGATGCTTTGTCTTGCTAAGAATTTAAGCTGTTTGGTTACTATTTAGTGAGACTTTTCAACTCCACAGATGCCAAAAAGAATTGGAAGGAGAGAAAGTGAGCTATTCCTGGGTGCTAAGCTTCCCTTCCTTCACCTCCTGCTCACTGCGACCCTACGAGGATCCAAGAAATTAAGCAAATAATGCAAGAAGATGTAGTTAATAAATAGATGATCTGGGAATTAGGGTGCCCAACTCATCTAACTGACCCAAACTTAATTATTTCTTGCGCCAGGAAATTTTCAATAATACATTTTACAACTGGAAGTCCTTTTGTCCCAAAAATACTCAGTCCTGGAAAAACTGGGAAGTTCACTAGCCTAACGTGGATGGAAAATCCAGTTCTGGTCGACTCTAAAGTCTGGGCTTCCTTGAGCTCCATCCTAGGAGGCGAGCAAACCAGGTTACCCAGTCATAGCAGCATTAAAAATTCCTAAAATACAAACGATCTGGTCACACAATGAATTCTGGGTTTTCTTGAAGGTAGAGGTGAACCTTACCAGTTTGGCTGCTTTATGTTTTACAAAGTTAGCGATCTTCTTTCTGGGCCCAAGGGGTATCCCCATTTCCTTCAGGTCATCAACTGTACACATAAGCTTTGAAAGAAACAAACAGCACATGAATTAATCTACTGACAGATGAGCTGAAACTGGACTTTAAAAATTATAAACCATTAAAGCAATTTAAGAACCAATCAATTTTGTTGGTGCTGTTGTTTATAAATCATAGATTAGTTTAAGCTATAAAACCTTAGGCCTCCACACCTAAATCATTCTATTAATTTTTAACAGAAAACACATGCATGGTATACAGAATTGCAAAGCTATAGTCAAGCATACAGTGAAGTCTCTGACTCGCTCTGTCCCAACCACTCAATTCGCCAACTGCTGGGAATCGGCTGTCGCTGCAGAAACACCCTATGTGTGACACAGCAGCCACCACACACAGTCCTGCACTTGTTCTTAGACACCAGCATCTCTGACACTGCCCCACCTACTCAACAGCTGCAGGGGACAGCACAGAGGAGTAGCCAGTGCTACTGGAGGACACTGCAAGTACTCCTAAGGTTTTTTTTGGTTACAAACAATGCTGCAGTGAAGGATGCCTGCAGATGTTACAGTGTGACTGTTTTCCTACAAGGAGTATGTTCATAGAATCTGTCCCAAATTTACACTGTCACCAATAACAGACAGCAGTACCTACTTATTCTCCTTAGCCACATGGTATATTGCCAAAACTTCTATTTTTGTCAAACTATATTGTTAAAAAAACCTTAGGTGTTGAGCCGGCGCCGTGGCTCAATAGGCTAATCCTCCACCTTGCGGTGCCAGCACACCGGGTTCTAGTCCCGGTTGGGGCGCCGGATTCTGTCCCGGTTGCCCCTCTTCCAGGCCAGCTCTCTGCTATGGCCAGGGAGTGCAGTGGAGGATGGCCCAGGTGCTTGGGCCCTGCACCCCATGGGAGACCAGGAAAAGCACCTGGATCCTGGCTCCTGCCATCGGATCAGCGCAGTGCGCCGGCTGCAGCGGCGGCCATTGGAGGGTGAACCAACGGCAAAGGAAGACCTTTCTCTGTCTCTCTCTCACTGTCCACTCTGCCTGTCAAAAAAAAAAAAAAACAAACAAACAAAAAAAAAACCTTAGGTGATTTTTAATTTGTATTTCTCTTCCAAGTTTTCATATGGTAAGAAGCCATTTGTTATTTTCTTTTTTACAAATCATTTTCTAAAATATTCTTTGTTTACCTATACTTTTCTGTAACCTACAGAATCTTTGAGTATTAAGGAAATGAGCCATTTATAACATGTGTTCCAAATATTTTTTCTATCTTTCATTGGCCTTTAGAGGTTGTTTAGTGTCTGCTACCTACTTTTCCTCTTCAAGGCCTTCTGGGTTTTGTACCATACTTAGAAAAGCCTTCCAAACTATAAAAAATCTTGTTTTCAATCTTTAAGCATTCATGTCTGTCATATCTGGAATATATTTTGCCTTAAGAGTATTTAAATCATTCTTCATTTTCAAACTTACACACAGGGAAACAATTTTAAACAAAAATTAAACTATCATCAATACCAGAGACTCCATATCAATCTTTTCCTTTTCAAAAGTGCTGACATATTCAGATAGGCTAAGTGCGCCCAGGGTTTCCTGCAAAGTTAGGACTTCTTCATTTTCAACATCAAGGTCACATGACTCATCCAAAGTCAGTTTTGGTTCTTCGGGCATCTTAAAAACAAAACAAAAAACACATGGGAAACATTAAAAATCTCAGAAAAGCTAATATAGAACATCTCTTGATCTATGGAAAGCCGTGAACAATTCCATTCCATAGAAAAATCATACTTTTCGGTAGTTTTCAGCAAGCAAAGACTGAATACTCTGAAGCATACTCAGTCATTCATGCTCCCATTTTCTATAATAATTTATATCTTTAAAAGTCATAAATTTGCACATTTAAATTTATAACCAGTAAGGAAGGGTGAGAAACTCAAACAATGAGTTGTATGTTCCATAACACTTTTTTTTTTTAAAAAAGATTTAGTTATTTATTTGAAAGTCAGAGTTACATAGACAGAGGCAGACACAGAGAGAAATCTTCCATCTGCTGGTTTACTCCCCAAATGGCTGAATGGCTGGTGCTGGGCCAGTCGGAAGCCCAGAGACAGAAGGTTCTTCTGGGCCTCCCATGTGGGCACAGGGCCCAAGGACTTCTGCTTTCCCACATGAATTAGCAAGGAGCTGGATTGGAAGTGGAGTAGCCGGGACTTGAACCAGTACCCATATGGGATGCCAGTGAGCAGGTGGCAGCTTTACCCACTATGCCACGGTGCCGGCCCCTCTATTACACTTCTAAACCTCAGTGTATTTGGAGAGATCTCAACAGTTTCAGGAAACAGTTTAGATTTCGAGAAACTGGTCGACTGCAGCTCTAAATGCGAATGCTAAGGGGCTGCCTGCAGACGTACCTGCTTTTCCTGAAAACGTGGCTGCTTCACAACTCCGTTGGCAACGGCCAGGGGCCCGGGGGACTTGGAAGAATTCAGGTCTTTTTGATTAGACAGGATGTCAAACAATATTAAAGAACCTAAGGAGAAAAGAAGTTTTTTGCTTTGTAATGTACTAGGTGTTTTTTATAAATTCTTTTTTTTTTCAAAGTCCCTAGCCAGAAGTCCCACAATAACTAGATGTTATTCAAGACCAATATTTGATATAACCATTTTAACAAACAGCAGAATAAATTAAAATACATCAATATTCCAATATAATATCGAGTGTGCAGCAAAGGCAGGATCAAAAAGAATTTACTTCATCCTTTCATAAAAGATCTGTAATTCTAAATTTTATACTAAAAATGTCACCCACTCTGAAAGCAGTGATGACTAAACAAAAATTATGTCTAAAATATGTGTATGACAGTTTTACCTAAACTGTGGCCAGCAACAGAGACCCCTCCTTTGAAGTTTGGGTTCCGACTCATAAAGAGGGCATGTAGACGGTTTATCTCCATTCCGACTTTTTCCACAATTACCTGACAGTAGGTGGGGCTGTTATAAAACAAAATATCTAGCAAGGTTTCATTGGTAAAGTGACGAAACCGACCAATACTTGGTAAAGTGATTTTCTTAATATTCCTGTTAAAAAGAAAAAGAAGCATATTCAGTAAGCATCTCCATTTACATCTATGAATTTGTAAAAGTGTGTATTTTGATTCCTGAAAATACACTGAGTAAAAGAGCCCACACGCTAATTATGAGTTGATTCTGTTGGGCAGTTATTGTAAAGAAATCTAAAGTAAGCAGACAAGTTATTTGAGCTTATAACTATACCATGAATTTTGGGATTCTCTACAAAGATTTTAACTTTATTTACTTATTTTTTACGATTTATTCATTTGCAAGAAGAGAGAGATAGAGAGACAGAATGACGTATCTTTCATCAGCAGGCTCACTCCCCTAATAGCCACAATGGACAAGGCTGGGTCAGGCTGATCTAGCACTCCTATGGGATGCCAGCACTGCAAGGAGTGGCTTAACAGCTGCATCCCAACACCAGTCCCTTTAACTTTAATTTTAAAGAGGAAAACCTACTCTTCCATTTTTCTTCCGATTAACTGGAAATCTGGATACTCGACACAAACAGGACAAAAGGAAATGCAGCGTGGAGGAGTTACACGAAATGAAAGCCTTTACTGATTTGAAAATGACCAAAGTGAAGTTCATAAACATCACACAGGAGAAAACACCCTCCCAACAGCCCACAACGGACAGAACACTGTTGATAGAACTTTTTATAAATCACGTGCCCTGTAACTTTGACATTCACCGAAATCCAGACATGTTATTAGCCCTGTGTGCCAACATAAATATTACCATATCTATTGTGCTCAGCTGGGAGTATTCCAAGTTGGGTGGGCATTTTTAGTGGTCACCGTGCTCCAGCACTCAGACCTAAGGATGCTAACTGGCCTGCAAGGCAACAACAAAGCAGTGTCCTGCCAAGAACATGGCCGCTGAGAAAGTGGTTCTCAGGCGGGTGCCATTTTTCCCCCCAGGGAACAATCGGCAATTTCCAGAAACAGCCTGGTCGTCACACGGTGAGAGGGAGAGGCATGCTACTGCTATCTGACAGATGCGGCAGCCACAGATGCTGCTAAGTATCCTGCAACGTACAGACAGCCCTGTCTACACCATGCCAGATTAGGCTTAGACATTTAGTACTAAAAACGAAAACTCAGTACTTACAACTAGCTAGCATTTCTTAGATTCTCCTCAATATTTACAACAAGAATACATACATATATACACACACAGAAAAGTAGCATGCACATATTAGCATGTGACCACATGTCAAAGCAAGGATAAAATGCAGAAACGAAACGTATTGTTGAAGTCATTACAAACTATCCCACATTACAGTTTAAGTTCTGAATCTAAATGTGACTATCTGAAAAACAAGTTATCAAAACCCACAGACCTGTCAACACCTGTGGCGTCCCCGCCCAAGGAGCTGTGCCAATGAACCGGGAGGAACTCCACTCTGCTCACCTTCCCATCATCTAAAGATTTCTTGAAATGTGTCTGCAGCAACTTGAGAGAAACCACTCTAAAATCATCCACTTCAAAGAAAAAAATCAGGGGAGAGAAATTAAGCTGATTAAACTGTCCTACTTTGACATCTAGTTAGTAACTACCTCAAATATATCAATCATTTTAATAATATGAAGATATAATTTTTAAGGAAAAAACCGAGGAAGAAAAAATTAGCTTTAAGAAAGTAAAAAACAACCTTCAGGAGGTACTTATAACTCATTATTTTGAAGGAATGTATAAATGCCTAGACAACGTTGGTTTAACTATCACCACTGGGAGGCAGCACGGCATGCTGGGTAAAGACTACCATCCCATACAGGTGCCAGTTCGTATCCTGGCTGCTCCACTTCCGATCCAGCTCTCTGCTATGGCCTGGGAAAGCAGTGGAAGATGGCCCAAGTCCTTGAACCCCTGTACCCACGTGGGAGACCTGGAAGAAGCTCCTGGCTCCAGTCTTCAGATCGGCACAGCTCAGGCCATTGCAGCCATCATGGGAGTGAACCAGCAGATGGAAGCCCTCTCTCTCTCTCCCCCTCTCCTCCTCTCTCTGTGTAACTCTGACTTTCAAATAAGTAAGTAAATCTTACAAAAAAAAAAAAAAAGACTGGAATCAAACTGCCTGCAGCTGGATCCAGACTCGGGAACCCACTGACTGTGATCCAGAGAGTGGGACTTCCCCTGAGGCCTCAGTTCCTCACCTGATGGTAAGGGTGACAGCACCTGTATACCCAAAGGTCTGCTGGGGAGGGTTAACTGATACAACTCATGCCAGGTACTTGGTGTTTTCCACATATTTATTAAACATGAATTCTTATCATACAGACATCAAAATAAAACTTCAGGGGCCAGGACTGTGGCACAGTAGGTTAAGCTGCCACGTGGGATGTTGGCATCCCATATGGGCGCTGGTTTGTGTTCGGCCGCTCCACTTCCAACTTAGCTACTTGATAATGTGTCTGGGAAGGCAGTGGATGACGACCCAAGTGCTTGGGCCCGGCCACCTCTGTGGAGACCTGGATGGAGTTCCAGGTTCCTGGCTTCGGCTTGGCCCACTGCAGCCATTTTGGGAGTGAACCAGCTATTGGATAGAAGGTCTCTCTCTCCTCTCTCTGTAACTTTGACTTTCAAATAAATAAATGAATTTTTTTTAAAAAGAGGCAATTGGCATAAAAAAAAAGATAAAACTTCAAAAATTTAAGTCAACCAGGCAGTTCAGAGCTTCACAGAACCGCTTGTCACAACTCACTCACTTCACCAATGCACGCGCACCTCGCTGCTGGAAGGGCTCAGGCAGAGGCCGTCTGTCAGAAAGGCTAAGCTATTTCCAAGGTCCCTTCTAATTCTTCAGGGTGTAGGATTTTATGAGCGAACAAGTCAATTTCAAATTACTATTTCCCACTCAGCATTTAAATCTCTATTTATTCCTAAAGATTTATTTATTTGAAAGGCAGATTTAGAGAGAGGCAGAGGCAGAGAGAGAGAGAGAGAGAGGTCTTCTACCCGATGGTTCACTCCCCAAACAGCTGCAAGAGCTAGAGCTGTGCCAATCTGAAGCCAGGAGCCAGGAGCTTCTTCTGGGTCTCCCACACGGGTGCCGGGGCCCAAGGACTTGGGACATCTTCCTCTGCTTTCCCAGGCCATAGCAGAGAGCTGGATCGGAAGTGGAGCAGCCAGGACTCGAACTGGTGCCCATATGGGATGCCGGCACTGCAGGTGGCAGCCTTACCTGGTACACCACAGCGCCACCCCTAAATCTCCTCTTACAGCTCCTTGGCAAGCAGTACAGAGTGCAGCTGGAACTACCCTAAAAATGACTACTGCACAGCTCTTCCATTAATTCTCAAATCATTCCATGAAACAAAATATGACTATCACTTACCACATTCAATAATACTTCTAAAGCGCAAGTCACACACAGGCCCGATGCCATGCACCATGAACACCAAATGGTCAACCTGAGGCATCTCCCCTAGGTACCAAAAACAAAAACACACACACACAAATATAAAAACTGGGCATTTGAGTTTTCTTAATTAAATAGCAATATTCTAGGTACCCCTTTTATCATCACAAACTGGCCAAAGAAATTTAGGACCCTTCCAAGCAAATAAGCCTCATGACCCTCTACCAGATTAAAAACCATTTGCCCATCTCGGTGACCAACACTGAACTAGACCAGGAAGTGGGGAAAGCAGGCTCTCCTTGCTCTCAGCAGCCAGCCAGCCGCTCTGTGTCTACAGAGGCGCCACAACGTGTAGTTGCTTCACAACTCCCAGGGTGCAGACCCACACTCAGAGAAGCAATCTGCCAATATAAAACTTTTTTTTTTTTTTTTTTGACAGGCAGAGTGGATAGTGAGAGAGAGAGAGACAGAGAGAAAGGTCTTCCTTTGCCGTTGGTTCACCCTCCAATGGCCGCCGCGGCTGGCGCGCTGCAGCCGGCACACCGCGCTGATCCGAAGGCAGGAGCCAGGTGCTTCTCCTGGTCTCCCATGGGGTGCAGGGCCCAAGCACTTGGGCCATCCTCCACTGCTCTCCCTGGCCACAGCAGAGAGCTGGCCTGGAAGAGGGGCAACCGGGACAGAATCCGGCGCCCCGACCGGGACTAGAACCCGGTGTGCCGGCGCCGCTAGGCGGAGGATTAGCCTAGTGAGCCACGGCACCGGCTGCCAATATAAAACTTTAAAACCATTTCGCCAAATACCATAAGGCCATTTTTCTACTTCAATCAGATTTTGAGTACTTATTTTATAATCTTATAAATAAGACAATGAAACAAACATGAAGAGTATGTAATTATCAAAATAAAAATCCACCTTAAATGCTGTAGTGAGGAAAAGCAAAGCAGACACTAGAACAGGGGTTGGCAAACTATGGCCCAGGGACCAAATCCTGCCCACTACCTGTCTTTATAAAGAGCTTTACTGGAACACAGCTATCTACATACAGTCTCTATCGCTGTTCTCCTGCTACAGTGGCAAAAGTGTAGCTGCAACAGAGTCCATATGCCTGCAAAGCCTAAAATACTTGTATTCTGGCTCTTCACAGAAAAAGTGTGCCAACCCTGCACTAGAGTAAGACAAACCAGCGAGGCATAACACCAGCACAGAAGTACTGCCAAAGCTTAGTTCCAACCAGCAAAGTGCTTTGCCACAATAACACATATGTTAGAATCTACACTTTGTGGTTTGTGTATCTTCAACAGAATTCTAAATTTAAAAATAGAGAAGCAGTAAATTTAAAAGAAAGACAGAGGCCAAACTGGCTGATTTATGCATATGGTGGCAGGTGATCATAACTGTTTCTTTCTTCAATATTCCAAAGTATGACATGCAAATACAGAAGACTGAAAAAGACTCAGGTCCTAAGCAAACATACACACCATCAGGGATTTCATCAAGGTTATCATCAATTCCACGTTTGACAACCCTGGGCCTTGTCTGCCCATCTTGTGTGGTCCCCCATTCATCAGGCACTGAGGATGGCTGGAACTGAACAATAACCTTCAAGATACAAAGGATGAAGACAGAGCTCATTACCAAATCTTTCCCACTACAGGCTAAATAATTTATTTCATTATATAATATACTATACTACACATGGATAGATTACAAATCAAGTATTACTGCTATTCCCCGAGGCCAATTTTCTAAGAGTCCTAGCTAATGTTCACTAACAATCAAAAGTAAGTAAATCAACACCATTATTTCCAATTCTTATGCTGGAAAATCATACCTCTGTAGTACACCTTGATTTAAGTCTACCTGGGGGTCAGTATTTGGCCTAGTGGTTAAGATATAAGATACCCACATCCCATATCAGAGTGCCTGAACTCAAGTCCCAACTTCCCTCCCACTTGTACTTTCCTGTGAATTTGCACCCTGCAAGGCAGCAGGTACTGATGGTTCAAGTCCTTGCATTCCTGCAACCCACAGGGAGACCTGGATGGAGTTCCAGGCTCCTGGCTTCCACTTAGCCCCCAGGCATTCCGAGAGTGAACAGCAAATAGGAACTCTCTCTTTGCTTCTCAAGTAAGTATTTAAACTTTAAATTTTTGAAAAATTCCATAATGAGGCCAGCACTGTGGCAGAGCAGGTAAGGCCACCACCTGCAGTGCCAGCATCCTATATAGGCACTGGTTCAAGTCCCGGCTGCTCCACTTCCGATCCAACTCTCTGCTATGGCCTGGGAAAGCAGTAGAAGATGGCCCAAGTCCTTGAGCCCCTGCACCTGCATGGGAGACCCAGAAGAAGCTCCTGGCTCCTAGCTCTGGATTGGCACAGCTCCGGAGAGAGACCTCTCTCTCTGCCTCTCTCATTCTCTTTCTGTTTAACTCTGACTTTGAAATAAATAACTCTTTAAAAAAAAAAAAAAAAAAACATAAAACTCCATGTTTACACATAAGAAATCAAAGACAAGTTACCTGCAATTGAGAAATATTTGTCTTACAAACACACCTAAGACAAAATCCTTTAGATCTGGGGGGAGGCACTGTGGCGCAGTAGTTTCAGCATTACTGGCATCCCACGTGAGCACCAGTGTCCTGGCTGCTCCACTTCTGTCCAGCTCTCTACAATGTGGCTGGGAAGGCAGCAGAAGATGACCCAAGTGTTTGGGCCCCTGCCAGCTCCAGAGTTCCTGACTTCAGCCTGTGCCCACCCAGGCCGTACTGGCCATTTGGGGAGTGAACTAGCAGATACAAGATCTCTCTTTCTCTGTCTCTTCATCTCTAACTCTGCCTTTCAAATCAATCAATCAATCAATCTTTTTAAAAAATACTTTACATTAAGCCCTGTGCCACAGAATAATTTTTCAATTAAAAGAATGAACATATATATAACAATATGCAAAATGTTTGTATAAGAAATAAAAGGCTAAGGTTGCTACCATCAAGAAGTGAAACAGGAAGTACAGAGGTGGGAGGCTTTCTTCACTTGATACCTTTGATGTTGTTGAAATTTTGATGTATGAACCTGTTTTTATTTTTATTTACTTCATTATTAAAAAGGACAAGTGGTTAAACTTGCTTTGTTTTCTTCCACACTTTTCTGTAAAACCACATTAATAAAAAGCCTATGTACTGTGTGTCAAGCCTATGCCAGAAGCTTCTGTCTAAGTTACCTCACTTCATCTAAAACATATCACAGAGAGGTCAGTGCTGCAGGTGAGGAGCCTGGAGCCCAGAGAAATTAAGTAAATGAAAGGATCAGAACACTGCTAGTCATTAGCTTTCAAAAAAACAAGAAAAGTTCATGGAGACTGCAATTACTTTAAAAAGGACACATTTTTATTTAAAAGCTTAAAACAAATCACCATCACAGACAGGTAGGCAAACCATGGCCCTATAATCAATATGACAAATCCGTATCACATTCAGATGTGGAGGAAAATGATCGCTATGACAAAGGTGGCCTACCACCTGTTTTAGAAATAAAGTTTTACTGAAGACATCCACACCCACTGCTTTACGTGTCTCCAGCTGCTTTCACACTACAGTGGTAGATCTGGTAGCTCCAACAGAGATTATACGGGCGGCAAATCCTTAAATATTCACTCCTCAGCCTCTTTAAAAAAAACTTGGCCGGGGCTGGCACTGTGGCACAGCAGGTAAAGCCGCCACCTGCAGTGCTGGCATCCCATATGGTTCTAGTCCCGGCTGTTCCACTTCTGATCCAGCTATCTGCTATGGCCTGGGTAAGCAGCAGCAGATGGCTCAAGTCCTTGGGCCCCTGCACCCATGATAGGAGACCCAGAGGAAGCTCCTTGCTTCTGGCTTCGGTTACGGCCAACTGGGGAGTGAACCACTAGATGGACGACCTCTCCCTCTCTCTCTCTCTCTCGCTCTCGCTCTCTCTCTGCCTCTCCTTCTCTCTCTGTGTAACTCTTTCAAATAAATAAATAAATCTTAAAAAAAAAAAACTTGGCCGGCCGGCGCCGTGGCTCAATAGGCTAATCCTCTGCCTTGCGGCGCTGGCACACCGGGTTCTAGTCCCGGTCGGGGCGCCGGATTCTTTCCCGGTTGCCCCTCTTCCAGGCCAGCTCTCTGCTGTGGCCCGGGAAGGCAGTGGAGGATGGCCCAAGTACTTGGGCCCTGCACCCGCATGGGAGATCAGGAGAAGCACCTGGCTCCTGCCATCGGATCAGCACGGTGTGCCGGCTTGGCCAATATCTGACCAAGTGAAACAATTTATCAAGCATCTTCTATGGTATATGAAGCTTCAGCTAAACAGAAACAGAAATAGAAACAGAAATTTTTAAATCATGCTTTTGTTTCCATAACTATTTTAAACTTTTTTAATTTTAATAATTTAAAGAAAACAGACTGCACATATTTTATACACACAATTCACACTATTTTAAAGGCAAGACACTTGCTATATCCTCACTATAGAAGTTACTGAAAATGAACATTTATCAACACATAGAGCAAAATATTATTGCAATATACCTAACACTTTAAACAGCAAAATTACCTTGGGATTGTGCATAACAATGGTCTCTCCACTTGGAAACTCTAATCTGCGGTGCCACTGATTCGTTGTTACAGCTTTTTTATATTCAGCCTACAGTAATGGGAACATATAATCCAGTGTGACAAATCTCTATCACATCAAAAGTGTGCAAGAAAATGACAGTTATGACACTGACAAAAACAACACTCAGAGAAGCTCCCATTTATTGGCTGGTTATCACAGGTTTTTTAAATCACTTTATATACATTATCTCATTTAAGTAATTACTCTCAATTAAATAAAATTATTCTCAATTAAATATTATCTCCTAAATAATATTATCCCCATTCTATAGAGAAGAAAACCAAGCCCCTTAAGTTTCTCAGGACTACCATAACAGAGTAGCACAAGCCAGGGGCTTACACAAATTTATTGACTCATGCTGAAATCCAGGTCAGCATGGCCATGGCCTCTCTGAAACATGTAAGGAAGTCCTCCCGGCCTTGCCCTAGCTCCTGATGCTGCCATTGTTCTCTGGCACTCCTGGACTTGAAGCATAACCCCTTCCTCTGCCTTCATCATCACACAGCATTGTTCCTGCGTGTCTCTGTCTCTCTTCTCTTCTCCTTAAAAAGACACCAACCATATTGCATAAAGGTCTAAACCTACTCCAGTATGACCTCATGGTAACTAATTATATCTGCAGTGACCCTATTTCCAAACTAAGGTACTAGGAGTTAGTACTTCAGTGTACCAATTTTGAGTGCAGGCGTGAGCAGGACACAATTTAACCCATAACAGATATTTTGAGTGCTGTACACAGTTAGTTACACAATTACACAACTGAGAGTAGCAATGGCAGAAGTGTGGTTCACTTTCACCCAGGACTTTCTGACTCCAAAGCCTTGACTGTCCAATCATTTTCTTACTCTTCCTCCAGATACACAATTCTGCTTTCTATGAAGCGCAAGGCTGAGGGCCTGCTGGGAAGGGATACAGCACGCAGTAAAGGGGAAATCTGGCACGCCTACTGTACAGTCTTTTACATACTTATTTTTTTAAATGACAAGTATAAATTGTTAGTTGTACTTAAGCGATTATCCAACAGTCATGTTAAAATGCAAGTCTTTCTTTTTGTGTCCTCCACAATCACTCAGTGACAGCTTTCAAGAGCTGATCAAGGAGCCAGCATTGTGGAGCACCAGGTTAAGTCACCACCTGCCAACACCAGTATCCCATAAGGGCACTGGTTCCAGTCCCAGCTGTTCCACTTCTGATCCAGCTCCTTGCTAATCCACTTGGGAAAGCAGAGAAGATGGCCCATATGCTTGGGTCATTTCCACCCACAAGGGAGACTGGGATAGAGTTCCAGGTTTGCTCTGGCCCAGCCCCACCCCATCCCACCCGTTGTGGCCATTTGGCAGTAAAAAAGTAGAGGAGAGATTTTCTGTCTCTCCTGCTGTTATTCTGTCTTTCAAATAAATAAATTAATCTTAAAAAAATATTTCTGGGGCCGGCATTGTGGCATAGAGGGTAAGGCCACCACCTGCGACACTGGCATCCCATGTGGACACTGGTTGGAGCTCTGGCTGTTTTACTTCTGATCCAGCTCTCTGCTAATGTGCCTGGGAAAGTACCCTCCTGGGAGACCCAGAAGAAGCTCTTGGCTTGGTCTGGTCCATCTAGCTGTTTCAGTCATTTGGGGAGTGAACCAGCAGATGGAAGATCTCTCTCTCTGTCTTCCTCCCTTTCTAACAGTGCCTTTCAAATAAATGAAAATAAATCTTTTAAAAAATATTTATTATGAGGTGAAATTTTTAAAATGTCTGAAGCCTCTGCTCTTAATAAACATTTTTTTCCAATTTACTTAATCCCAACTAACCCTTTCTCACTAGGCCAACATTTATGTTTTGCTACTGATTTGGTTAAACCGTACTTCACAGTCACTACTATTGAACTTAATATTTAGCAGGCATGTTTGATTTAATCATGTGTAGGAATTATATTTAGGGGCCGGCGCTGTGGCGCAGTAGGTTTACCCTCCACCTGCAGCGCCAGCATCCCATGTGGGTGTCAGTCCTAGTCTTGGCTGCTCCTCTCCTGATCCAGCTCTCTGCTATGTCCTGGGAAAGCAGCTGAAGATGGCCCAAGTGCTTGGGCCCCTGCGCCCACATGGGAGACCCAGAAGAAGCTCCTGGCTCCTCAATTCAGATCAGCTCAGGCTCCGGCCATTGTGGCCATTTGGGGAGTGAACCAGTGGATGGAAGACCTTTCTCTCTGTCTCTCCCTCTCTCTGTAACTCTACCTATCAAATAAATAATAAATATTTAAAAAAAAAGAACTGCATTTATCAAAACCAAAAAGAAAAATACAAAAAAAGCTTGCTAGAAAAAATATTCGTAGATAAAGACTAGTCTAAGAAAATGGTTTCAGAAGGCAAAATTTGATTTAAAAAGGAAGTAAGATTGTGACTGAGGGGACGGCATTGTAGTGCAGTGGATTAAGCTGCAGCTTGCAGTAGCATCGTCCCACATCAGAGCACCAGTTCAAGTCCCAGCTGCTCTGCTTCCAATCTGGCTTCCCGTTAACGTGCCTGGGAAGGCAGCAGAAGATGATCCATGTATGTGGGCCCCTACCAGCCATGTGGGAAACCTGGATGCAGTTCCAGACTCTTGGCTTAGACCTGTCCCAGTCCTGACAGCTGTAGCCAGTTTAGGAGTGAACCAGTGTCATCTTCTCTCTGTCACTCTTTCAAACAAATAAATATACCTTTTTTTTAATTTGTGACTGTATTTTTATTTCTATTAGTTGTTTCTCAAGAAAAATAAAATTAGTACTTAACAGTGGTACTTATACCATCAGCTCCTAAAAAAACACAAAGCCAAGTCCTTGTTTAAAGTCACTCTCAAAATATAAATCCAAGGATAACTAACATTTTGGAGAGCACTTGGCACAGTGGGAACACACTGACTGCAATGCCCGTATCCCATACTGGAGTCCCCGGGTCTCAGTCCTGACTCTGCCTGTTTCCAGTTTCCTGCTTATGTGCACCCGAGGCGGCAGGTGATGGGTCAAGTACGTGGATCCCTGCTACCCAGAGAAACCTGGACTGAGTTCTGGGATCCTAGTTCCAGCCTGGCCCAGTCCAGTAGTGTGGGCATTTGGGAAATAAATCAGCAGATGGAAGATCTGTCTGTCTCTCTGCCTTTCAAATAAATAAAAATAAATGAAGTTGACAAGTCAATGTTAAAAAACAATTTTACAGGCCCCTTTTGATGTTAATGTTAGGATTTATTCACACAAACTTTACGAACTACTACGGGGCTGGAACTGTGGTACAATAGGTTAATCTTCCACCTGCAGCACCAGCATCCCAAATGGGTGCCGGTTCCAGTCCTGGCTGCTCCTCTTCAGATCCAGCTCTCTGCTATGGCCTGGGAAAGCAGTAGAAGATGGCCCAAGCGCTTGGGTAACTGCCCCCCCGTGGGAGACTGGGAAAAAGCTCCTGGCTCCCAGCTTTGGATTAGCCCAGCTCTGGCCGTTGCAGCCATTTAGGGAGTGAACCAGGGGATGGAAAACCTCTTTCTATCTCTCCCCCTCTCACTGTCTGTAACTTTACCTCTCAAATAAATAAATAAAATCTTAAAAAAAAAAAAGCATTAAAAAAAAAACTAACCAAAATGCTCTACATCTCATCTTCCATGTGGGCAACTGAATTCATTTAGCTTATTTCAAATTTAATATTCAACTATTAAGTGGAATTAGCACAAGAAATTAACACAATTATATAAAAGAACATTAACCATCCTGCTAGTAAGTTCCATGACAATTCTTCCTAACCTAAAGTGTTAATTTTCACAAGTCAGAGACTGATTTCAAGCCTTTTACTAAACATTGATTCAGACAGGTCTACATGCGGGGCCTCTGTTGCCAACACCAATCCCAGCAGCCCAGGTCCTTCTGAAGGTCTGGTGCAGGCGGCTCCCTAGACCTGAGGAGCCCGGAAAGCACCCTGTCTTCCAGCAGAGCAGCAGCCCACGTCACGAACACTGGGGCCTAGAGAACGCAGCCTCCGCTGCAAACAGCCAGCTCCAGCGCGAGTGGCACCACACGAGGCGCCAGGGTCCACAAGGCCTAGGTTTTGCAAAGGAAAGCACACAGGAATCAAGCGCTCGTACCTCTAGTTTCTCACTGAACTCCTCCGTATAGGGAATGAATCGGCTGTCGGTGTCCCCCTTGTAAAACCAGGTGCAGCGTCTCACTTCAGTGGGCTCCTCTTCCCAGTACACTGCTCTCCTCACGCGGTCATAGAGGTAAACGTCGTAGCGCCCGCCGTCTGTGCCCAGAACCACGCTCTCAGGGTCTGGCTGAACTGGAGGAACAATGCCCACGTTTTACCCGACTGTTTTTTTGTTTGTTTGTTTGTTTGTTTGTTTGTTTTGACAGGCAGAGTGGACAGTGAGAGAGAGAGACAGAGAGAAAGGTCTTCCTTTTGCCGTTGGTTCACCCTCCAATGGCTGCCGCAGCCGGCGCACCGCGCTGATCCGATGGCAGGAGCCAGGAGCCAGGTGCTTTTCCTGGTCTCCCATGCGGGTGCAGGGCCCAAGCACCTGGGCCATCCTCCACTGCACTCCCTGGCCACAGCAGAGGGCTGGCCTGGAAGAGGGGCAACCGGGACAGAATCCGGCGCCCCGACCGGGACTAGAACCCGGTGTGCCGGCGCTGCTAGGCGGAGGATTAGCCTAGTGAGCCGCGGCGCCGGCCCACCCGACTGTTTTAAGGCATACTTACAAATAAACAACAACGAACATGGCGACTAGTCAATCCTGAGAGAAAAAGAACTAAGCTCATTCTTACTGACAAACACAAGATTACAATTAATCTATGCTGCTCAAAATCACGACCCTTCTTGACTGGAAAAGAAACAGCCAGGGCACACTTAGAAACATGATCATAAAGTAGTTCATATAACTGATAAAGTAATTCAAACAATTGGCAGGTTTTTTTTTTTTTTTTTTTTTTTTTTAAGTCCAGGCTGAAACATTTACCTACAGCAAGGCTCTATTATGTAAGCTGCTAAAGGACATTGATATCAGGGACTTATTCTCCCAGGAGCAAAGAGCACCAGGATAAGGAAGTAACTCTCGATGCTGCATGACTTCTCAGAGCCTGAGCACACCCTTCAAGAGAGAGCATTTGCAGAACTCCTCTCACTGTGGGACACTGTGCATACAGAGCGTCTCTGGGAATGAGGCCCACAGAAAATGTGCTGTAAGTGCCCCCATAACTACAAATGAATGAGGGAACTAGGGAAACTGAAACCTACATTAAATGAACTACTATACTTCTCTGATTCAAAGCACTTCTAAACAAAGGATGAAAGTACACAAAGCTTTCTTCGAATACCCTGCTCTAATAACTCTGGACTTGTATCACCGACTTAAGACACAGTCTGGGGACTGGCGCTGTGGGGAAGCAGGTAAAAGCTGCTGCCGGCAGTGCTGGCATCCCATATGGGCGCCGGTTTGGGTCTCAGCTGTTCCAATTCCGATCCAGCTCTCTGATAATGGCCTTGGAAAGCAGTAGAAGATGGCCCAAACCCTTAGGCCCCTGAACCTACTTGGGAGACCTAGAAGAAGTTCTTGGATCATGGCTTTGGATAGGCCCAGCTCCAGCCAATGCGGCCATTTGGGGAATAAACCAGCGGATGGAAGTCCTCACTCTCTGCCTTTGCCTTTCAAATAAATTAATTTAAAAAAAAAAAAGGTACGGAGTCTGGTGAAGTCCAGAGTAGATTAAGGAATCTGACATTAACAAAAATAGGCCCTGGACAAACAGCCTCATAAACCCCCCTCACTTCTCTTCCTACACCAGACACCACTGATGCCTGCTCAGTACCCACCTGAGTTATAGATTTCTTCAAGATTCATGGAGTCCAGCACACTGAAAGGCATCCACAGTTGTTTGTGTTCCACCTCCTTGCAGTAGAACCAGTGGGGCTGAACAGGCTCGTACTGGTTCTGAAGGAGAAAGGGAGCCGGCCCCTGCACAGAGGGACCTGCAGGCCTGGCGAGCGCCTGCTGCTGCGCTGGCGACTGCACCGGAGGCGGGGCCTGGGGAAGACAACAAACGTCACGTCTGCCCGTGCTGCACCGCCAGAGACACAAATTTCAACATCAGCGATACTTACCCTACATGTTTTTCTCAACAAATATTTACTTTTAAATATTTATTTACTTATTTATTTGAAAGGCAGAGTTGGAGCCAGAGCTGAGGCGTAGCAGGTAAAGCTACTGCCTGCAATGCCAGCATCCCATATGGGCACCAGTTCGAGCCCTGGCTGCTCTGCTTCCAATCCAGCTCCCTGCTGATGCGCCCGAGAAGTCAGTGGAGGATGGCCCGAGTGCTTGGGCCCCTGCACTCACAGGGGAGACCTGGAAGACACTCCTGGTTCCTGGCTTCAGCCTGGCCCAGCCACGGCTGACACGGCCATTTAGGAAGTGAACCAACGGATGGAAGATCTGTCTCTCCTCTCTTTTTCTCCGTAACTTTGCCTTTCAAATAAATAAATGAATCTTTGAAAAAAGAAAGAAAGGTAGAGTTAGAGAGAGAGTGTGTGTGTGAGAGAGTTCTATTTGCTGGTTCGCTTCCCAAATGGCTACAAAAGCCAAGAGCCAGGAGCCCATAAATCCATCCAGGTGGCAGGGTCCTAAGCATCTGGGCCATCATCCACTGCTTTTCCAGATACAGTACATTGGAGCTGGGTGAGAAATGGAGCAGTCAGGACTGGAACAAGTGTTCACATGGGATGCCAATGTCATGGGCAGCTTAACCCACTATGCCCATGCCAGCCTCTGAACAAATATTTAGTGAAATACTTAGATGCATACACCTCTTTATTTTTTTTTTTTTTTCAAAAAAAAGAAAGAAAGAAACCCAAAATCAGTGACAAAGTGAACCACTGTCTCACAAGGATGCAAAGTAAACATATCTTCAGAGGAGTCAACTTAGCAGGCTGTCTCCCTGATTTATTTACCTTTGAAATGTGCATGGGGCAGGCACTTGGCTTTTGGTACAGATGCATGTGGAGACACCCATGCCTCCTACTGGGGTACCTGGATGTGACACTCAACTCCCGACATAAGCTTCCTACTAACGCACACCACTGGAGGCAATGATTATGGCTGAAGTTGAGTGAGCTGGTTCACTCCCCAGCTGTCTACAACAACCAGAGCTACGCCGATCAGGAGCCAGGAGCCTCCTCTGGGTCTCCCACATGGGTGCAGGGGCCCAAGGACTTGGGCCGTCTTCCACTGCTTTCCCAGGCCAAAGCAGAGAGCTGGATCAGAAGTAGAGCAGCTGGGACTCAAACCCATATGGATGCCGGCACTGCAGGCAGCAGCTTCACCCACTACACCACAGCGCCACCCCTTCAAATAACTAAATGTTTATAAATAAATAAATAAAGATGAGAAGCTGCCAGTCTGTTCAGACAATAATTGTTTTGACTCTCCCGTGTCCCTAGATGACATTTATTATCAATATCTTACACGAAAATCTGGAAATACTGAAAGGTAGCTAACTCATTAAAAAAAACTTTTTACTTCAGTAAACAAGTAAATAAAAACTAAAATATGAGCCATCCAATTAGCTTCCTTGAGAACAATGCTGACTTCAAGCATGCAGCTTACAAAGAATGCCCTCTGAAAATGATTTGTCATGTTTCTTAAACTACAGGTTAAGGTTGGGGCCAGCGCTGTGGTGTAGCATGTAAAGCCGCCACCTGCAGTGCCAGCATCCCATATGGGCACTGGTTTGAGTCCCAGCTGCTCCACTTCCAATCCAGCTCTCTGCTATGGCCTGGGAAAGCAGTAGAAGATGGCCCAAGTCCTTGGGCCCCTGCACCTGCGTGGGAGACTGGGAAGAAGTTCTGGGCTTCTGGCTTCAGATCCACCCAGCTGCAGCCATTGTGGCCAATTGGGGAGTGAACCAGCAGATGGAAGCCCTCTCTCTCTGTCTCTCTCCCTCTCCTTCTCTCTGTATGTAACTCTGACTTTCAAATAAATAAATCTTTAAAAAAAAATACAGGTTAAGGTGAAACAGAGAAAAAAACTTAGAGGGAACAGTTTGCATACAAGAGCACGGCCCCTACCGGCGGCAAGGATCCGGGAAGCATCTGGTACATCTGCACAGGGGGCACGGAGGGCACGGGGGGCGCGGGAGGCGCGGCGTGGGCTGGCATCTGGCACTGCTGCAGCTGTGGTGGTGCAATGTAAGGGTTAGCCCGGCTGCTGACCGGGGTGTGGCGGTACGGGTTGTATCCTTGTTGAGGGGTTCCTTGGGGCGGGCTCCCAAAGGTGGAAGGAGGGAGACTGCTCGGCTGAGAAGGCAGGAAAGTATTCACTCCCATCTGTGAGGAAGGTGGAGCACCATACTGAGCCTTGGGAACGGATGGCGGATACGCGTTCAGGACGTCTTGGGATCCAGGTGTGAAAGGGAGAGCGGCCGACTGTCCCGCCGGCGCCGCTGCCGTCGTTAACGGTGACTGTCCGATGTTCCCGAAAGGGTCGCTGCTGCTCGAGACCTGAGAGAAGTAGCTGAACGTCTGCGGGGTGGACGCGTGAACAGAGGTCTGCCCGAGGAAGCTGTCCTCCTCACCTACCTCCGAGGAGTCCTCTGAAACACAGCAGAGGGCGAGCGATTACAGGTACTCCCCGTGGACAGGGACCCTCTTAGAGGGGGAGCTGGCTGAGGGGAAGCAGGAAGTTCACACACCTTAAATAAAAGGTTTCTGGGGAAAAAGAGCTAACAATTGTATCTCTGCATTTGCAGCCCAACTTACATGTCTCCATTAGAGGGAAAAAATTTTCTTTGAAATTAAAAACTAGAAAATATGAATAAGGAAAAATAAAAGGAGAGAACAAGTATAATTTGCTTGTAAGTCTGCCTCCCAGAGACAACCACCGTCAACACTGCATTTTGGTACCTACTCTTCTTTTTTATACTTTTTAAATAAATATAAATAGTTGTAAATATAGATTTTTTTAGAACTTCATGTATTTGAAAGGCAGAGTTAGAGAGACAAGGAGAAAGAGAGGTCTTCCATCTGCTGGTTCATTCCCTGAATGGCTGCAATGGCCAGGGCAGGGCCAGGATGAACCAAGGAGCCTAGAACTCCATCCAAGTCTCCCACACAGGGCGGCAGGGACCCAAGCCCTTGGGCCATCCTCTGCTGCCTTCCCAGGAGCATTCAGGAAGCTGGATCAGAAGTGGAGCAGCTGGGGCTGGAACCAGTATTCAGATGGGATGCCAGTGTCACAGGCAGCAGCTTAACTGGCTGCATCATGCTGGCCCCATAAATGTATAGTTTTCTAAAAATAAAAACAAAATTTGTACTGCTATTTGTATACATTATTTTGGTCCTTTCATTTTTCCTAAGAAATAATTAAAATGTGACTCTAGGGCAGGTGTTTGGTCTAGTGACCTGTGATCTACATTGGAGTGTCTGGGTTCAATTCCCAGCTCCAGCTCTTCAATCCAATTTCTGCTGATGCAGATCCTGAGAGGCCATGGTGATGGCTCAAGTGATTGGGCTCCTGCAACCCACTTGGGAAACCTGGAATTAGTTCCTGGGTCCCAGGTGGGAGGCTTTGTATTTGGGTAGTGAACCAGTAGATGGAAGGTGTCTCTTTCACTCCCCCCTCTAATTTCCTCCTCTACACCCTGTACTGTCTCCCAGATAAATTAAATATTTTAAAGTAGTGTTTTTAAAAAGTTGTTCCATTACCTAACCACAAATAATTTCATTTCTACAGTCATGACAAGGAAGTACAAATATTAACTCTGCTGACAAGAAAGGGTGTGTCACAGCTCTCACCTACAAGTGAACGTGTGGTGTTTGCACTCCCAAGGAAAGCAGGTCAGCCATTAATAGCCATGCCAAAGACCACGCAGCTTCACAACCAGAGCGTCAGTCACTACAGAGCACCATCTTCCATACAAGGTCAGTTCCTCCCTTTGCCCAACTTAATCCTCGCCTCGGGTATTACAAACTCCAAACAATCTCTCTTCTGCTCTGTTAGCAAAGCATTTTACTTTTCTATGACCTTAAAGGTCCACCCCATGCTTCCTAACTAACTTCTATGAGGGGCTGGTGCTGTGGCATAGCAGGCAGAGTGGTCACTTGGGCATCCCATATGAGTGCCAGTTCCAGTCCTGGCTGCTCCAGTTCTGATCCAGCTCTCGTCTATGGCCTAGGAAAGCAGCAAAAGATGGCCCAAGTGCTTGGACCCCTGCACCCACATGGGAGACCCAGAAGAAGCTCCTGGCTCTTGGCTTGGGACTGGCCCAGCTCCAGCCCTTGTGGCCATCTGGAGAGAGAAGCAGTGGATGAAAGATCTCTCTCTCTCTCTGCCTTTCAAATAAATTAATTAATCTTTAAAAACAATAATAATAAAAATTGTGTAAGCCCTTAGCTTGCGGATTTCCTCCTCCTCTTAATCTTCCTCTCTCCTCACTCCCTCTTATCTCCAACTGCGGAAGACACGAGTCCACCAGGGGATGAACCCACTCCCAGCACACAGGCACACCACGCCCCTGCCCAGGGAGTCCTGCCAGAGGGTGGTTCCTTTCACACTCCAGGCTTCCTCTTGACCTCTGCTGAAGGAGTTCATAAAGCTCAGAGACACTCTGGCTTAAACTCTTTTTTTTTTTTTTTTTTTAAGATTTTTAGTTGCTTGAAAGACAAAGTTACAGAGAGAGGGAAAGAGAGAGAGAGGTCTTCCATCCACTGGTTTACTCCCCAAATGGCCGCAACGGCCAGAGCTGAGCTGATCCAAAGTGAGGAGTCAGGAGCTTCTTCTGGGTCTCCCATGTGGGTGCAGGGGCCCAAGGACTTGGGCCATCTTCTACTGCTTTCCCAGGCCACAGCAGAGAGCTGGATGCGAAGTGGAGCAGCCCGGACTTGAATCGGTGCCCATGTGGGATGCCGGCACTGCAGGCCAGGGCTTTAACCTACTGCGCCACAGAGACAGCCCCTGTGGCTTAAACTTCTATGTGGCTCCTACGTTTCGCATCCATCAATTTAAATAAGCTATTCCACTATGCAAATTTGGGCCACAATCCTAGAAGACACAATCTCAAATTTTCAAATCTCCAGAGAACAAAATTTCTAAAGTCTAAAAGCCCCAAACTCTAAAATCCCAAAGGACCAAACTCCTGAAAATACAATTCTGGGGAAAATAATTGTTGCGGCCAACTGGGGAGTGAACCAGAGGATGGAAGACCTCTCTCTCTCTGCATAACTCTGCCTTTCAAATAAATTTAAAAATAAATAAATGGCAGTTGGGCCATCTTGTGCTGCTTTCCCAGGAGCAGTCACAGGGAGCCAATCAGTAGTGGAGCAGCCAGGCCTTGAACTGATGCTCTGACATGGGATACCGTTGCAAGCCATGGTTTAACCCATTGTGCCCACCACGCAGGCTCAGAACACTTCCACATTCATTTCTACCTGGGGGTCCTCTTTATCTAGTTTCCTTGGACTCACATCCTATTGTCTTCTGAAAACCCTCTCCAGGCCCCACCCAAAATTACACTTTGCCTATGATCTCGCATACAACCAAAACCACTAACGCCTTCCCCAGAATTCAGCTTTCTACCCTCATCACGCCTTTCCCCCACCATTGGAATTGCTATTTTCGGCATTTTGGCTTTCAGAATCTCAATCTTTTAGCATCTTAAACTTTTGGGATTGTGATTTTCCATCTTTCGGGACCTCGTCTTTCACGATTACCACTGCACACACTAATCACCGTTCACGATGCACTCCTCTCACTTGTTTCTTTCCAACTAAAGACACCACCTCCTGGACAAGGCCCTCTGCACCCTTCTACTTTTCTGGTACACTCGTATTTCCAGTTCCCACGAACTTCCCTGGGATTCATCTGCACCCAGTTCATCCCCCAACAACTAAGAGCAGGCGAAAAGCCTCTGGGCTGTCTTTCATCCTTTAAGAGAACTTGAGATCAACCGGTACGAGAAACTGCTTTCTAATTAACATCAATCACAAAGGAACTCCCACCTCAGCGTGCTGCTCGCCTCCCCTCGGGTGCTTTCTGATTTCACAGACACCTACGGGATCCAGCCCACAACCCTAATGAGCACCTGCACCGTGAGACCCCCAGCTCCACCTCAAACCCAGAGCGTCCGCACGCGCCCCATCCTCCGGCAGACCCAGTCACTCACACCTCAGACTCCGTTCATCACCCTAACCGCCCTTTGCTCCTTTTACCACACCTGGGTAACAGCCACCCAAACTTTCCAACCAGAAACCTCAAGTCTCTCAGACTCCTTCCTCCCTCTCACGCCTTCATTTAATCAGACACTCATCAGAGAAGCGGGAACACGGCACCTATGAAGTGCCAGGCACAGGGCTCAGCCTGGGAACCAAAACGGAATGGAAACTGCCCTGGCGGCTGACACAGCTGACCAGCTGGCCTCCGGTGAGTCTCTACAATTTCATAGCCTAAAATTCTCTCACATCTGCACCCTGCTCTTCATACGCAGCATGGCTGGCTTAGACTGCAGTGCCCAGCCCTCACGATGGTCTCCAGACTGCCCACTCTCGCCACAGTCAGCCTGTTCCAGCGTAATCTATGCAAACTCTAGTCTTGGGGTGGGTACTGCGGCACAGCAAGTTAAGTCAGAGCTTGGGATGCCCGTATCCCATTTGGAAGCACCTCTGCTTCCAAGGCAACTTCCTGCTTGTGCACCTGGGACCCAGTAAATGACAACCCAAGTCTCTGGATGCCTGCCACCCACATAGAGACCCAGATGGAGTTCCTGGCTCCTGGCTTCAGCCTGGCCCAACCCCGGATGCTGTGGGCATTTGGGGAGAGAACAAATGGATAGGAGTTTTCTGTGTGTGTGTGTGTCTCTCCCTCTCTGTCACTCTACCTTTCAAATAAATAAATCTTTTTTTTAAAGATTTTATTTATTTATTTGAGAGGTAGAGTGACAGAGAGACAGAGAGACAGACAGAAAGGTCTTCTATCTGCTAGTTCATTTCCCAAATGGCTGCAACGGCCAGAGCTGGGCCAATCCTAAGCCAGCAGCTTCTCCCGGGTCTCCAACGCAGTGAAGGGGCCCAAGCACTTGGGCCATCTTCTACTGCTTTCCCAGGCCATAGCAGAGAGCTGGATCACAAGAGGAGCAGCTGGGATACAAACCAGCACCCATATGGCATGCCAGCGCCATAGGCAGAGGCTTAGCCCACTATACCACAGTGCCGGCCCCCTCAAATACATAAAGCTTTACACACACACACTTTTTTGAAAACTCTGGTCTTTCTGAAACACCTGATTTCACTATCCCACGCCCCACAGGATGCACTACAAAGTCCCTGGAATGGTGTATGAGGGCCACAGATTACCGCGGCCTCTCCTCCACACACTGTCACAGTGGGCAGGGACACACAACAGGACAGAGGGGAGAGGCCCATCCTGCCTCACACCTCCCACCACCAACTCCTGCCAAGTCTGCGGGTTTTCTCACACCTCCAGCCTCACTCACATCTACGTATCTTTTTTGTTGTTCTTAAAGATGTATTCGTTAATTTTGAAAATCAGAGTTACAGAGATGGAGAGCCGGAAAGAGATCGTCCACCCACTGGTTCACTCCCCAGATGGCCCCAGCAGCCAGCGCTGGGCAAGGCCGGTGCCAGGAGCTTCATCTCAGTCACGTAAGTGCCTGGCAGAGCCCAAGCACTTGAGTCGTCTCCCTCCGCTTTCCCAGGCCTTAGCAGGGAGCTGGACAGGAAGCGGAGCAGCCCATACTGGATGCCAGGGCTGCAGCGGCAGCTTTACCCACTATGCCACAATGCCAGCCCTCGATGTCTCTTTCAACTCAAGCATCGCCTCCTCTCCAAGGCCCTGAGGGCCTAAAGGACATCCTCTCCCTGACCAGCAGCCTGAGCCACGTCGCAAGCACAGCAGTGTACTATCCCTCTCCCTCGCTGTGCTAACAGGGAGGCTGACACGGTGGGCATCCGTGTACCAGCCACACTGTGCGGCTGCTGCAGGCAGGCCTCGGTGCGTCCTGACATGCGGGACAGGGCCTGGCAAGCAGAAGCTGCTCAATCCACGTTTCCTGAATGTATGAAACCACTTCCTGTGCATCTCCCACTGGCATGATCAATGGGCGCTACCAAAAATCTGGCTCTTTTTGTCTCTGGAGATTCACTGAATGGATTTCGAACTATGAGACGTTTTCACAGATGGAAAAAACACTTGCTACAGAATTTTACTTCTAAAACTATTAATGTGTGTTCTCGCAAAAATAAATAAACTCTAACAATTGCAAAGACAAGTCTGTTTTCTGATGCCTAATGAAAATGTTTAGTATTGGGCTGGCGCCGCGGCTCACTTGGTTAATCCTCCACCTGTGGGGCCGGCAAGGTTCCAGTCCTGGCTGCTCCTCTTCCAGGCCAGCTCTCCGCTGTGGCCCGGGAGGGCAGTGGAGGATGGCCCAAGTGCTTGGGCCCTGCACCTGCATGGGAGGCCAGGAAGAAGCACCTGGCTCCTGGCTTCAGTTCGGCGCAGCGCCGGCCATAGCGGCCATTTGGGGAGGGAACCAACGGAAGGAAGACACCCCCCCCCCACTGTCTAACTCTGCCTGTCAAAAAAAAAGAAAGAAAAAGAAAAAGTTTAGTATTAATTGATAGTGACTCACACAAACCAAATATTCTATAACAGACAAGAGCCAAACCCCGTTTGTGAAGCAGAAGCTAACATAACACCCCAGGAGTGGCCTTGTTCATTCCTGCTCCTCCCAGAGTGCCCTGCTCCAGCCACGCCGTTCCTTCACCAAAGACGCGATCGAGCTGCCTAAATAAGACGAAGACGGGCATTCCTGCTGCCCGCTCTCCTCCTCACTCAACAAATACCTACTAAATATCAATCGGTCTACTGCATCCCAGCCCCTGGGGACAGACCAGTGACCAACACTCCTGGCTTTCACCCAGCTCAGATTCCAATAGCGAAGCATCACCAACTGTGTACAGCACCAGAGAGAAACAGGACACGAGCGAAGGGGAACCTTCACGGGCAGCTCTTCCCAGGATGCCCTTCTGCACTTCTGTGAAAACTCTTCTTAGTCCTCCAAGCAAGAACAAATTATTCAACAGGAAAAAAGTCAGCATAGGGCTGGCACTGTGGCGCAGTGGGTTAGGCTGCCACCCACCACGCCAGCATGCCTTATGGGTGCTAGTTCAAGTCCTGGCTGCTGCACTTCCAATCCAGGTCCCTGCTAATGTGCCTGGGAGGCAGCAGACCATGGCCCAAGTACCTGGGTCCCTGCCAACAATGTGGGAGACCTGAAGAAGCTCCTGGCTCCCACCTCGCCTCAGCCATCGTGGCCACTTGGGGAGTGAACCAGCAGATGGAAGATCCATCTCCCCCGCCCCTCTGTGTGTGTGTGTGTGTGTGTCTATCTGTCTCTTCCTCTGACTTTTAAATAGATAAATAAACTCTATAAAAGCCAGCATATAGTGAGGATCTACATGCAAGGCACTCAACAAGATCCTGAAAATAAAACTGTTAACGGCCATAGCTGCAAGCTTCAACCTCATAGTCCCACTGGACAGGCAGACATGTTCATTCCGCGAACACTGAACACTTTGTGCCAGGCGCTATACTGGGTGCACTAACTTCTCAGGACAATCCCCTGAGACTGCTCATGGCCAGAAACTGAGGCACCCAGAGGAGAAGCAGCAAGGCCTGGGGCCACACAGCACCATGTCACTGGCAGGGCCATACAGTCCGAGCCCCTAAGCACCTCGGTCCGGGTTATGCCACCGAATCCTCAGAAAGCAATCTCCCTGGTCAATATACAGGCTCGAACCAGGAGCTAGGGCGCACACAGGAGTGGGGGCCGCACTGTCGTGAAGAATAAAGACTGCACTCTTGAGCCGGCGCCGTGGCTCAATAGGCTAATCCTCCACCTTGCGGCGCCGGCACACCGGGTTCTAGTCCCGGTCGGGGCGCCGGATTCTGTCCCGGTTGCCCCTCTTCCAGGCCAGCTCTCTGCTATGGCCAGGGAGTGCAGTGGAGGATGGCCCAGGTGCTTGGGCCCTGCACCCCATGGGAGACCAGGAAAAGCACCTGGATCCTGGCTCCTGCCATCGGATCAGCGCGGTGCGCCGGCTGCAGCGGCGGCCATTGGAGGGTGAACCAACGGCAAAGGAAGACCTTTCTCTCTCTGTCTCTCTCACTGTCCACTCTGCCTGTCAAAAATAAAAATAAAAAAAAATAATAAAAAAAATAATAATAAAAAAAAAAAGACTGCACTCTTACCTGCACTTTACAGGTACTACATGGCTACCCTGTCCGCCCCGGGAGATGCCCTGCCCTGCCGTACCCCAGGGGTCTCCTAGTGGGACTCAGGGACACAGCGTTCCCTGGACGAAGAGCAAGCCCCGGGACCCGGCGCGCGCCCCCCAGACCCCTAAGCCCCGGGTCCACTCGAACGTGCCCTCTGCGGGCCCTGGCAAGCCGCCAGAAGGCGCACCTCCCGAAGGAGCCTCGTCGCCCCACGACCCCCGCCCGCCTCCCTGCACACTCTCGCGGCGCGGGACCGCCCGCCCCTGACTACCTCCCGGCAGGAGCAGCGAGGCCGGGGTGGCGGCGGCCTGGGTGACCGGGATGAAGGGCACGTTGAAGCTGAACTCTGTGGCCGAGGACGAGAAGAGTAAGTTAGTGCCCGACGAGGAGGCGGACGCGCCCCCGCCGCCACCGTTAGGCTTCCTCTCGGCCATGGCTGCGGCCCACCGTCCGTTACACGTCTCCCGGTAGCCGGGGCAGCGCCACCGGCCGGAAACCAGTCACCCTCGGGCCAGCGCACTTCCGCACTTGCGCCCAGGGACCGGAAGTAGCGGCTCCCTCCCTTCCCCTGGCTCGCGTCGCCAGGAAATAACAAGGCGGCGCCGGCGTCACGCCAGGGCTTAGCACGTGACCGCTGTCGCGGCTGCGCGAGCGAGGCTGGAGGCGGAGGGACTGGGAGAGGGGACGGTGGCCGCTGCCCGTCCTGGGTGTGTGCGCGAATGGACGCTGAAAGCCGCCGATTGCGAGGGGCGCTCCGGGCTTCCTAAAACTGTCGGAGAGATGGTTGAATGGACAGATTTGGGGAGGGCAGGGGAAGCGAGGACGAGCGGCCGCTCTCGCAGATTCGTGCCTTTCTGGACTGACCCTTGCCCCGTGGCCCAGAAGCAGAGCTGGCAAAACTTGAGACATGCTTGAGCCAGGGGCTTGAGGTTGCAGGCGTGTGCCTTTTAAACAGGAGCTTTTTCTGTCCACAGTAGCCTAGTCCGAGCCGTAATTGTCCGCTTTCACAGCTAGAGATTACAGAGGGGAAAATACAGAAATGGCCAAGCAGCGTCCTGGAGACTCCCAGAGAGGCCTCAAAGTAGCGAGCCAGGCCGCGGGTGCTGACCCCCGTGTGGGGTGTCAGCTTATTAAATCAGTTGACGACCCGATTTGCCTGCTGTCAGAGTTTTTTAAAAGCCAGAGTCTAGTTACAATGGTAAGACATATGAAATAATTACCTATTTTTTATTTTTTTTTATTTTTTTATTTTATTTTATTTTATTTTATTTTTTTTTTTGGACAGGCAGAGTGGATAGAGTCAGAGACAGAGAGAAAGCTGTTCCTTTGCCGTTGGTTCACCCTCCAATGGCCGCCACGGCTGGCGCGCTGCAGCCGGCCACCGCGCTGATCCGAAGGCAGGAGCCAGGTGCTTCTCCTGGTCTCCCATGGGGTGCAGGGCCCAAGCACTTGGGCCATCCTCCACTGCACTCCCTGGCTACAGCAGAGAGCTGGCCTGGAAGAGGGGACAGAATCTGGTTCCCCGACCGGGACTAGAACCCGGTGTGCCGGCGCCGCTAGGTGGAGGATTAGCCTATTGAGCCGCGGCGCAGGCCCAGTAATTACCTATTGCAATAGGAAGGTGGCCCGACAAGAACTGGACTCAGCTTTGCTCAAACAAAAAGACTTATTTACTTTTTTATTTATTTGAAAGGCAGAATGTCAGACCATCCTCAAAGGGCAGCAACGGTCGGGGCTGGGCCCATCTGAGGCCAAGAATTCCACCCTGGTCTCCCACCTGGGTGGCAGGAACAACCCAAGAGGAGGGGTCATTTGTAGCCTCCCGGGCACATTAGCTGAGAGCTGGGTGGGAAGCAGAACAGCCAGTGTTGTGTCCAGTTTGAGACCCTCCCCAAAACAACTCACAAAAGGCAGACGTAGGCCAGTGCTGAGGCAAGAAGCCTGGTCCCTCACCTTCCCAGCATTTTTACCCACTCAAGTAAACAAGTACATATGTCACTACACACCTAGGCGAGTTCCTTATTCCTTATATGGCAGTTACCTAAATTTATGCATTTTATTGGTGCATTTGAGCAACTTAAGGGCTAGGCGTCATACAGGAAGGCGGAAGAATCTAAATTCCAGGAATAGCTTCATTCCCATACCCTTAGGCCTGTCTTTTCTGGCTTAAAATAAAGCCTGTCATGGAGGAATGGCGGGTCTTGCGACAGGAAGGTCCTGAAAGCTCTTAAGACCAAGATTTTAATATGTTGCCCCATATTTTATATCATTTAATCTTAACATACTACATATTATTAAATCTTAATTTCAAATGTATTTAATCTAAACTAGCTTATGGTTTGAATTAATTACTCATAACTGAACTCTACACCAGGATTCAAACAGGCTTGTTCTGAGTTGGAGACTTTTCCAAGGCTGAGTTGTGCTGAGAGCAAGGGGTGTGCGTGGCGCTTGGGCCCCACGTTACATCTTGTGTGTTAACTGGTACTTAACCCGGAGGAGACCTGCAATTCCCAGCTCCTGAAGACAGGCGGTGGTGTAAGTTGGAGCAAGGCACACCCAGGGACTGGGAATGAGAGAGAGGATTGAGCCCTGGAGTGTCTGAATTTTCAAAAAGGCAGCTCCGGGTGGTAGAAGATTTGCACAGCAAAGGGGCAGAGGAAGAAATTACAACTGCAAGGTTGAAGTCTTTGCTGTAAGCAAGGCTCAGGGGCCTAACTGCCTATCACCAGGCTGTGGCTGGACAGACAGGAAATTCTAGCAGTGCTGAGCTTTCTCGGGCAGGCATTTTTTAAATTATCTGAAAGGCAGAGAGAAGGAGATCACTCTCCAGAATGCCCACGACAATGAGGACCGGGTGAGGCAAAGCCAGGCACCCAGAATGCCACTGTGGTCTTCCACTAAGGTAGAAATCAGGCCCAGGGTGCTGCCTGCTGGACACCGATTCAGCACAGACCAGCACTGATGCTAGGGAACAGGTTTCTTGGGCATAGAGTGCACTTCTCTAGTCCCAAATATGCTCTTCCCCAATTGTAACCTACGAGGACTTTCTCTTTTTTTTTTTTTTTTTTTTTTTTTTTTTTGGAAAAGAGTTTATTGCGGGAAACCCAACAGGCTGTAGGGAAGGGGTGAAGAAGGAAAAAGAGAGAGAAGGAGAGCATAAGAGAGAGAGAGAGCAATCAAGAGACATAAAGAGAGACAAATCAGGGGATGGAGAGAAAGAGCCACTTGTTCAGGAACAGGACCTTCTAAAACTTTGCGGGGGTGGGGGGGCAAGGAGATAGGAGCAGCAAATCCCATTAGGATGGGGGTGGGGCTGACACCGGTGGTTGGGCCACATGGCTGGCTGGCTTCCAGCAATGGCAGCAGGGACTAGAGCCTAGGATGGTGTCCATGGTGTAGATCGCGCCATAGGTAAGACTGTACAATTTTACTAACATTCCCCCCTTTTGTTTTTTATACAGCAGGAGTTGTATGGGATTACATTAGCCCCAAAAGTCTAGGAGGGGTAGAGGGACGATGATCTGTCTGTAGAGCTACTTCCTGCTGACTTGGCGCGACGAGGTACTCTCTGCTGGCGTGGGGCGATGTCTCAAGCTGCTATCTCCTGGGTGGGGAGCTGAGTACATCCCTGTAGCAGCATTTGGTTGACTGCCTGGTTGCTGAAGGCCTTGGTTCCTTCCATTATCAACTCCTGTGAACACTTAAGCAGACGCTGTAGTATAAAAGACAGGGTAAGAAAAGCAACCAATGATCCTAAGAATGACATTAACCAGGTAATGAGAGGATTTCATGAGGAGAGGAAATGGGGGGGGGGCCCTCTGGACCCTTGTGAAGACTGTTTGATGGACATGGTTTAAAGCTGATCCCAACCCAGACCAGGAGAAAAGCCACTCATCTTTTGCAGGTAGAGGGGTTTGTCTGTAGAGAAATTCTGAACAATCATACAACACTAAGTGGGGGAGAGGACCATCAATACACTCAAGTCAGGAGTAGAGCCATCAATGTTAGTAGAGGCTATGGTTACAAGGGAATGAGGCTGGGGCCGCCGCTGTGGCACAGCAGATTAACGTCCTCGCCGGAAGCACCGCAATCCCATATGGATGCCAGTTAGAGTCCCAGCCGCTCTACTTCCAATCCAGCTCTCTGCTATGGTCTGGGAAAGTGGTAGAAGATGGCCCAAGTCCTTGGGCTCCTGCACCCATGTGGGAGACCTGGAAGAAGCTCCTGGCTCCTGGCTCCTGGCTCCTGGCTCCAGGTTTTGGATCGATCGGCACAGCTCCGGCCGTTGCAGCTGATTGGGGAGTGAACCAAGACCTCTCTCTCTCTCTCTCTCTCTTTCTCTCTTTCTCTCTGCCTCTCCTCTCTCTGTATAACTCTGACTTTCAAATAAATAAATCTTTAAAAAAAAAAAAAGGAATGAGGCCCCAAGTGGGCTAGACAGGGTCTAGAACAAAGGACAGAGTCATTATTAGAGGACCTAAGAAAGATGTTGTCTAAGCCATGAATAAGTTCTCCAATTGAGAGGCAAATAGAAACTGACAGAAGGGGCCTGATAATAATCTGGTGGACTTTAAGGCCTTGTCAGTTATGAGGCCCAGACCTACCTATCCCTTCACATGAGTATATCCTAAGGGAGGTGTGAACCTCCTTGGGAAGGCACCCTGTTGACTTCCATTACCCAACTGGCCTGGGAGGAGAGCTGGCCAGGTCACGACAGGTGGCATCTCCAACAGGAAATTTACAGTTCTGCCTGCAGTGTTACTGACCCTAGTTGGCCGTCCCCTCAGCAGCATTGGTTACGTTGGAAGCTGGGCCGAGTGAAGGGCTCTCCAGCTTGGAGCCAGAAAGATCTGCGGCTCTGACCTGGGTGTCCTTCGACTCCAGGGCAGCTCCATTTCCAGTGATCCAACTCTTGGCTGGCAGAGCTGCAGGGCTCTTCACAAGCTGACTTTGGCTGAAGCCCTGGCTTTCCACATTGAAAGCCACTGCAGTGGACTGGCCTGTTGGGTCTCCTTGAGGGCAGGTCACTGTGCAAAGAAGCCTTTAATAGGCCTACACCTATCTTTACAATTCTAATGCCTAGCTTTCTTTTCCTCCTGATTTTTGTTAAAGCAGACCAGAGGATGCAAGTCAAGGGGGTGCTCAAGTTCCATCTCTAATCTTCGGTGGCCAAAATTAGAAGTCTGTAGTCACAGGCATGTTCTGATAGTGGTTTATTTTGAGGTAGACAAAGTCCATGAGGAAAGCTATGTCCTTACTTTAAAACTTTCTTGCTAGGAGGACTTTCATTCCAAACATTGGCTGTTTGGTTGGTTGGCTGGTTGATTTGAAAGGCAGAGCAGGTGTTGGCACTGTGGTGTAGCGAGTAAAGCTGCCACCTGCAGTGCCAACATCTCATATGGGCACCAGTTCCAGTCCCGGCTGCTCTACTTCCAATCAAGCTTGCTGCTATGGCCTGGGAAAGCAGTAGAGGATGGCCCAAATGCTTAGGCCCCTGCACCCGTGTGGAAGAC